AATTTTCCCCTTTACTGGGCTCTGCTCAGGGTTTTAGACAGTGATAGCTTACGACTGTCTCCACCTTCCTTTAGGCAGAGCTGTTGCACCTATCACCTACAACCATGAATGAGAGCATATGTGCTGAGCGGCTTGTGCTAAGAACTTTGGATATTTTTTCCTTGATATCTGATGCATTTTTCTTTGAAAAAGGGTTGTTTATTCAGGTGTTACCTTCATTTCCAGTTGCTGTTAGGATTACTGCTCCATGGCACCACCTACAGCTTTCCCAGTATCACAAAAAAGTCCCCATCGCCCACTTACCTCCTAGCTCTGATATATGTCAACCAGCCATAAGGGTCAAAAGGAGAATTGGGTAAAAAATATTTACGAAAAGTAATGAATGCTGTATGCATGAATTCACAGATGTTTCCTCCTCAAATTTAACTTGATCTTGATGACAGCAGAAGTAATCCTGCCCTTCCCAGCTTCTCAAAGCATAGTTTTCTATTCCAATCTTTTTGTCAACACTAAAAAGTATGTAGCAAAGTAGTAAGAGCAGTTTATCAAGCTGAGAACTAGTACTTACTTTGTAGGTTAGTTTTCAGATAAATCAGTCAGCAGATCCCATACAATTTCATCATCTCCTGCTGATAAGAGGAAAGGGACAAGAATTCAAAACATTTTTTGCAAACTGATCTACTTAAGCCAGCTGGAAAGATGCATGCTGAGATTACATATACATTCCCAAAATTTGGATGTAAAAGACAGATCTGTGTGGTAACCTAATGGAGTAATTATTTTACAACTCTTAATTTAAAAAAAAAAAAAAAAGACAACAACAACAACAAAACAACCCTGCAGAGTCTGTATTACTGGTTATAATACACCTTCAGTTGATTTCACTGTAATTCAGGAAAAAAAAATAGCCACACATAATAAAGAACTATTGCATGAACAGATGATCTTTTGGGGCATACATTCAACTGAATCTGAATTTAGGTGAAATCTAGGCAGTTCTAGTTAGGGAAGGCAGGAGTTCTAAAAAAAATAATAGTTTATTTCTAAATTGTCTTTATCTTTCAAGTGCTCCCATCTTTCGGTCTTTTATCTAAGATCCGATTTAGACTGTTGCACTGAAGACAGAATCATAGAATTGTTTGAGCTGGAAGGAATCTTTAAGATCGTCCAGTTCCAATCTTCCTGCTACAGACAGGGACACCTCCCTCTAGATCATGCTGCTCACAGCCCCATCCAGCCTGGCCTTGAATGCCTCCAGGGACAGGGCACCCACAACCTTGCTGAGCATCCTGCTCCAGTGTCTCACCACCCTCACAGTAAAGAATTTCTTCCTAATACCTAGTCTAAATCTACCCTCTTCCAGTTTAAAACCATTTCCCCTCATCCTGTCACTACCTGCCCTTATAAAAAGTCCCTCCCCAGCTTTCCCATAGGCTCCCTTCAGGTACTGGAAGGCCACTGTAAGGTCCCCATGGAGCCTTCTCTTCTCCTCACAAAGGAGGCTCAGAGTGCTCCAGCCCTCTGATGATCTTTGTGGCCCTCCTCTGGACCCTCTCCAACAGCTCCATGTTCCTTCTTGTGCTGGAGGCCCCAGAACTGGACACAGTACTTCAGGTGGGGGTCTCACGAGAGCAGAGTAGAGGGGCAGAATCACCTCCTCTGATCTGCTGGTCATTCTTCTCTTGAGGTAACCCAGGTTACGTCTGTTTTTTTGGGCTGCAAGCACAGACTGCTGACTCATGCTGAGTTCTTTCATAAACTGACACCCCCAAATCCTTCTCCTCAGGGCTGCTCTCAAGCCATTCTCCACCCAGCCTGTATTTATTGCCCCATCCCAGGTGCAGACCTTGCATTTGGAAAGGTTGAACTTCAGGAGGTTGGCATGGGCCCACCTCTCAGTCCTTCCAGGTACTTCTGGATGGCATCCCTTCTCTCTACAGAGTCAACTGCACCACGATATAATGATATATAAGAATTCCTCTGCACAATCAAGACTTTCCTGGATTGTAACTTTTCTTAACCACACATTTTAAGTTTGGTATATGATCTGATCAATTAAAGGCAGCCAAAATATGGTTGAGATAGTTCACAGTCAAAAAATATATTTATTATTTTTATATATTTATTTATTTACTTATTATGAAGCTATTGGCAAAGAAATGGTTCGGTGTAAAAAAAGTCTGAATTTTATTTTAAGAAAATATTCCTGGAGAAGTGTATATTCTATGACTCTCCCTACATTTAGAATACGTTAAAAATCCTAGTTGTATAAAAAGCAGTATAAAAGACTAAAAGAGCAGGCAGATAAATTAGAGAATAATTTAGGCTGGAAGAAATCTCTAGAAAAATCATTTCAGGATGTCAATAGCTTTCTTGTACAGAGGACTCCAAAATGGATACAGACATAGTCTTGCAGCACATAGACATTTTACATTTTACATTATTTTTTAATCACACTTCTGAGACACAGGCTTTTCAGATCATGATGATGTTTTACATTTGCTCTACTCATCATCTTATAGCAAGTGGACAAATACCAACTAAAAAATACAGTGGAAAGCATGAACCAACAAAACACTTGCTAAAACTAAGACAAACATAGAAATAGATCCAACAGTATCACAGCTTTATACATAACTACATTAGACATAGGTTTGTTCACATACATAATTCACATCATCTTTAATAAAATTTAAAACATGCATTTTCCAAGGCACTTAGGCTTTTTAGACAACAACAGTCATGGAAAGAGATGCCCAATTAGAGAGAATGCACTCTGTAACATGCATAATAATATCCATTACAGGATTTGTAGGACTATCCTAGAAGTTTTTCCACTCAGGCAAAACCAGTGGTATGCTGCTGCACACAGGAGATGGCAAAATGATTAAACTTCAGGACAAAATCTGTAGGAAACCACATCTCAGTAGCTCCTGAGCTCAGGACTCCACCAATCAAAATCCTTCTCTGATTCCCTGAAGCTCCTCAGCCTGCCCACCTTCTCCAGAAGCTCTGCAACCAGGTTGAGCAGTTCTTCAACCTGAACAGATCTTCCACAGATGTACTGTCATATTTTTATACTGCTGCTGCTGTCAGGTACTGACTAAAAACTCAGGCACATCCTGCATCTCAAAACTTGGATGGCTGCGTGTTCCCTCAGGAACACCCATCTGGGTGGCTGCATCACTTCGTGTGGCTGGAGAGGCCACATGGGATTCAGAGGACAAGGCTTTTTGCCCACTGGATACCATGGCAAATCTCCTTGTGAACAGGTCACAATCACTGCTGGAAACCACAGAGACTGTGCCCAGTAATGCTAAAGTCATGAAGAAAGCAAAGAAAGGGGATGTGGTTCCTTTTATGACATTTTCTGTCTTTAAATATTCCTGCTCTAGATATGTACAGTTTTAGATTATGATCTTCTTCTGAGGCATAGCAGAATAGTAGGATTAAGCAGCAATTTAGCAGATGAACAATTCATTGTTTCCCACTTTGTCCATGCTAGGTGTGCTCTCTAAGTACAATATTGAAGAACAACACAGAAAACAAAATTCTCCTTGTTTCCATCCCTACAGTCTGAACAGAATATTAGTATATCTCGGTGTTATCTAAAATGTGTGGATGGAAATTTTTTGGCTAGGCCCCAACTCAAATAACAGCATAGCAATACCCATTGCTACAACTAAAGGCTTTAAGGCAGCATTTCAAAAATTTGCCATTTGGGATTCAGTTTATGAAACAGTGGTCTCTCTCATTTCACAATTACTAATGCTTCAGTGGCAAGAATGATCAAGAGATAGTATAATTACCAAGGATTGCAAAAATCACACGCAATGTTTTCTATCACATGCCGACTTTATTATGTTCCAAGCTCAATTCTCAACTGTGAAGTGAAATCTTAACCAAGCCTTAAGTTTGCTTAAAAATAACTGTTGCATACTGCAAAGCCTCTTCTTAAAATGTTGTGAAGAACGAGATTACATCTCCTGCCTCTTGAACGATGCAGACAGCCTAACACGCACCTCAGCCTCCTGTCCCCAGTGGCAATGTCATGTCCAACAGCTTTTCATAAATTGCTGAGAGGCATTCCTTGAGGCCTCAACGTCTCAGCAGCTCTTCCAGGCAGTGATGTCCCCCAAGGACAGAGGCGTGGTACACCTGTGTTGAACCATGGCTACCTATTGCACATGGCTCACTTCTACATATGGGTAGCAGCAGCACTTCTGGTGGTGTCAAAGGGCAGTCCTGCAGGTGACTTAAGGCAGAAAGCTCATTAACCATAGCCAAGTAGGACTGGGAGGCCTTGCATTGCTTGCTGAGCCATAATGTGGCGCAGCACTTGTTCCCAGGAGCAAGGGCTGCTCTTACTTCCACTCTTAGCCTTGCTGCCTGCTCACATTCACCCTCCACTTCTGCAGAGCTGCTCATCGCACCGCTACCCCAAAGGCTTCTCCGCACTCTCCCTGGCTGAAAGCTCACCAACGGCAGCGGAACCCCTGAGGACAGGCCTGAGCTCCTTACAGGTCCCACAGCTCCACTGGAACCCCAAGCGTAGCCCACGGGGGATCTCAGGAGAGGACCACACACGGCCCCCCGAGGCACGCTGTCGCGACCCCACACGCAGGGCGCACGCAGCCCGCGCCAAGCAGAAGCCGGTTCCTCCTTTCCCCCCCTTCCCCGAGCCCAGCAGCGCCCCCCGAGCCGCTACGCTCCGCGAAGGCGCTTCCCCTGCAGCCCCGCAGGGCCCCCAGCCCCGGCCGCTTGCGCACGGCCATCCCGCCCCGCCCCGCCCCGCCCCGCCCGGTTTCCGGGCCCGCTTGGAAGTGGGGCAGAGGTGAGGGCGGTAGTCGGGAAGCGATCGGCCGCAGACGGCGGCGGCGGCTCGGGGAGGTGAGCGGTGCTCGAGAGGGAGCAGTGCGGGGCCGGACGGCGCCGCGGCTGGGCTGGTTCCGTGCTTCCCCGGACAAGGCCCCGAGCCGACGTGTAAACATCGCCGTGGTGCGGTGGCAGCGGCCTCGGGCCTCGCCTGGGCTCATCTCGCTCGGGGGCTCGGGGGCTCGGTCGGGTAACGGCCGCTCAGCGGCTGCTCGGCAGCGCGGGTGGGTAGGCGGCCGGGCTGGAGGTGTGCGAGGGGTTTGGGGGATCCCCGCGGGCCCCGCAGGCGTAGCTCGGTGGGTCAGGGGCGAGCTGCTTGCATTTTGGGAAGGAAAAGGCGTAGTTTTGAGTTTATTAACTAGAATTAACCAAGAAGGAAGCGGTTGGGAGCCCTTTGGTCAGCGTTCCCCTGTTGTGTGTATGCTTCTGAGGCTGCTGGCCTCAGAACAGAATCCTGGTGTTTGGGTGTTGTCCGTAGAGATTCCTATGATGTATGCCTTACGCTGTGTAAATGGAATAAAGAAAGGAAAATAAAAAAGGAATAGTGAGGCAGTGTATAATTTATCTGCAGCATCACTAATAGATCTAATACTGTGCTGCAGGTCTACAACATGGAAAAGCAAGTGCTCGAGTCCTCTGAAGAGCGAACGTTTCAGTACCAAGATTCCCTGCCTCCACTGCCCGTACCTCCTCTGGATGAATCTTTAAGTAAATACCTTGACTCAGGTAATGACTTAACAGTGGAGTGGTGTGTGCACCTGGAACCAGGCTGGTATTTGCCAAGTAGCGTTCATATGCAGCTTGTACCAGCTGCTGTGACTCTGGAGGTTGAGGAGGGGGATGGAATTTCCTTGCATTTGGGGCACAATAATCACTTTCAAATTGGGAAACTAAGTGCCCAGAGCAACTTGCATAAAAGCTCCCACCCTAACTACTGTGCCCTTTTTCTTCAGCAAGAGGGGAATTGGGTATATAAGATGGTTGCCTTCTGTTGTTTTTTATTTTGGTGGGTTTTTTTTTCCCTCCAGAGGGCTTTTTTTTTTCTACAGCTATGTCTAATTAAAAATATTCTGCCCTCTACAAGTCTTGTTTTGTGTAATGACTACTTGGCCTGGTCATAACTGTGTTTGCACAGAATCTTTGTGTAAAAAAAAAAAAAAAAAAAAGTGATTTCAAACTTTTTTTTGTAATTAAATGGTGTTTTTCTCATTAATACTATTAAGTACAGAGCAGTAGAAAAAAGCATCAACGGGCATTTTTTGATAATTTAACTTAAGGAGATTTCTGCTTTGACAAGTCTAAAGAAAATAGAAGTTTTGAAAACATCAGTGGAAATGTATCTAGCTTTGTTTGTAAAACTAAGCTGACTTGTCAGAGCAACTTTTGATATACTGGGGAGGGCAAAGGTAGCCATTATCTTCAGATTTCTTTCCTATACTCCTTTAACCATTTTCAGAACTCAGAGACATTGAGCTTTTCTCTTGAATGTCTGCCATGTCTTACCATCCTACCTGTAATAGAGGAATGGTACAGTAAAACCTGAAGTTCTGTCCGTAGCACGGTCCTTTGTTACATCATAGTCTCTTTTTCCCAAAACACAAATCCCTGAATTCAGAGTTCTCTTTTATCCTGGGCATAGTAGAAGCCACCCCATCAGTGGAATAATTGATAGGTTTTCTTTGTTGTTCCTAATGATATAACTTCTTGATGCAGTGTGATGAAATCACACTTTTAGTGGGGTAGAAGTTGATGTCACAACAAAATGCTTTTGTTCTGTTGTAGTGTAGGTTAACTTAAATTGTGTTGTAATAGAACTGAATGTGCAATAACAATTACCCTTCAGAGCTTAATTTTGTAAATCTATCTGGCTTTCCAAGTTAATAAATAACTCTCTCCTGGAATGATGATACCTGACTGAATTTGTTTGCTCTTGTTTTCTGCTTCTCATCAGTTTTTTCATAAATAGCTTATCACATTTTTCCTCAATTTAATTTTTTTTTTTCCATGCTGAAGTTGTTTTCTGATTTCTGGTCCTTGTACATAAGCCATTCAGTAATTTTGATCGCTGTTATTGATCTTCTTTAGTCTGTCTTCAAGTTGAAGGAAAGTTATTTCAGTGCTCTTTCAATGCTGTCTCCCATTACATCCTCATAGGTAAGCTCAGGATGTGTGGGGTTATGAGTGGACAGTGAGGTGGATTGAGAACTGGCTAACTGACAGAGCTCAGAGGGCTGTGATCAGTAGTGCAAAGTCCAGTGTAAGGCCTGTAGCTAGTGGTGTTCCCCAGGGGTTGTTGCTGGTTCCAGTCATGTTCAATATCTTCATCTGTGATCTCAATGAAGGAATAGTAGAGTGCACTCGCAACAAGCTTGTTAATGATACAGAGCTGGCAGGAGTGGCTGACACGCCAGAATACTGTGCTGCCATTCAGCAGGAGCTGGACAGGCTGGAGAGTTGGGTGGAGGGAAACCTCATTGATTTCAACAAAGGGGGTGTAGGCTTCTTCAGAAGGATTTGAATGTCCAAATGACCCTTTACAGTGCTCTGAATCATTCCTTGAGAACTCTTGTCCTCTCTTGGTCGGAGGAGAACCCTGGGCACTTAATATGAGTCAGTGTGCCTGATGGTAAAGCACTTACCTGTTTAAAGCCAGTCATCTGGAAAATCTGGATCTCAGATGATAGCCTGTTCAAAGCTTTACAGTAGCTGCTTGCTCTGGATTCAGAATGATTAACTTTGTGTTGAAGAAAGAAGTTGGATGTAACCACATTATTTAGCCTTTCAGTTCAGGTGAAGTTTAGACTCAGAAACTTCGACTCAGTTCAAGAGTTTGAAGACTCTTGGCCTTGTAGAAAGGTTCCTTAACTACACAACTGAAGCCGTCTTTCATGGGATACTTACTGTTCATGAATAGAGCTGATCTCTATGCAGAAGTCAAGACAAGATATATAGGTCCAGAGAAAGTGATGACAGATATTTCACTGAAGTCTAGTGAGTGAGGGCCTGAATTTTGCTCCTTCCTTCTATTGCCTTTCCTTTCTACATCCAATTGAGTTGTTTTTACATGGAAAGGGTTCACATGATCATAGAATTGTTTAAGTCTGAATGGTTAATCTAGATCAAATTCCTGTTCAAAGGTCTTCAGTTAAGTTTGCTCCGGTGTTGCTTAGCTGTGTTTTGAATTCCTGCAATGCTGCAGACTCCACAATCTCCTTGTGCAGTCTATTTGATCACCCTCAATTAGTGGGGCAGGAGGATGAATAAAAACAAACAAACAAACCCCACCATTAACAAATAAACCCTCATATTTTTCTTGTCAGAGACTTCCTGTATTGCAGCTTGAGTCCATTTTTCTCTTGTCCTAATCCTGTGCACGTGGGAGGAGTCATGTTTTACTTTGTGTTGCCATTTGCATTCTCTTTGTAAGCTGAACAGAGTTGGTTCTCAGCTTCATCTGATCATCATGTCCACGCAGTCCTCTAGACATCTTCACCTAGACATCTACACCTCAAATAAATAGCACCTGTGCTGTCTGTTTTGTTTCATTTTGTTTTGTTTTCCATGAAATCTGTAAAATACCAATAAGACTTGCATTGTACTGTTCTGGATGTAAGGGAGCTAGGATATAGCTGAAATGGGTCTTTGCTTTTCTCCTTAAGATACGTAATTCAAAATACTGGAATTCTTTCTAAGATCACCATAAAAATGAAATCATTTTGAAAAGAAGAAAGGAAGACCTGGCCTTGGTGGAGGAGGATCAGCAGAGGGGGTGCTTAAAGCATGAATGACTTTGAAGAATTGAATGGGGTGGATGTGCCTGTGATTGCTGAGGGAGCTGGGCTTTGTCACTGAGATACCACTTTTGATCATCTTTGAAAGATCATTTTAACTGGAGAGTGTTCTTGGGGACCGGAAAAAAAGCAAGTGCCACCACTGCTTAAGAGGAAGGATCTGGGGAACTACAGATCAGTCACCCTCACCTTGATCCCTGGGATGATGATGTAGCAAATAATCCTGAAAACAACCTCCAAACAAGGAGAATAAGAAAGTGACTGGGTCAGCATGGATTAATGAAGAGGAAATCATGCTTACCAACCTGATAACCTTTTATGATAAGATGACTGTTGTGCAATTTGCTATTCTACTTGAATATAGGAATCTTGCATAGAGCTTCTTAGCACAAGAAGCTAAATTTGCCGAAGCCTAAGGGTGCATGCAGGCCATTGGACTTCTACCCACTTAGGAGCAGGAGCAAACTGAAATGTAAGAAAGACTCCATTGTGCAGATTCAGCAGCCCTGAAGATGAGAGAAAACAGCATGCTGAGAGACATTGATGAGAGCCAACAGAGAGCAGAAAGACCTCCAGCCCTAGTATGGCTACTAGTCTGGACCCCCAGATGAGGGGCTGGGGGATATAAAGTATAAAGACATAACTGCCTAGGGATTTCTGTATTTGTGGCCTCTCCTCAGAGGAGCTTGAATTGTTGCTGTAAATTAAACTCTGCAGAAGAGATAGATATATGGCTTACGTCTCATTTACATTGCAGAAACCTAGTGCTAAACAGAGTACATTTTTTATAGATGAATTGGTAATATATGGCCTAGATAGTGAACAGTCAGGTGGACTGAAAACACTCTCAGCTCCTGGGCTCAAAGGTTTATGATCAGCAGCACACATTCCAGATATAGGCGAGTCCCGTGTCCTTAGAAGCATTAAAAGCCAGATGGGATGGGACTTTGAGCCACCTGATAAGGTGTCCCCATTGCTGGCATGGGATTTGGGCTAGATTGTCTTTAGAGATACCTTCCAATCCAAGCCATTCTATGTTGGAACAGAATGTTGTGTTCATCTCTGGGCTCACTAGGACAAATGAGACGTGCACATGAAGGAGCAAGGGTAGTGTAGGGCCATGAAGGTGATTAAGGGTTTGGTTTATCTGAGATGATTGTTCAACCTGAAGAAGGTGCCTGGAAGAACTCTGCAAAGTGCATAAATACCTGCTGGGGGTGGGTAAAGAAGACAGAGGCAGTCTCCTTGCAGTGGTATTAAGTGAGAGAGGAAGAGGCGATGGACACAAACTGAAATTCAAGGCATTCCATTTATATGTAAGAAAACTTACTGAACTATGAGGATGGTTGAGCACTGGAGTAGATTGCTACTGGGGAGGTTGGACATCTGAAGGTTTTCAAAGCCCATTAAAGCCCTGAGCAGCCTGCTGTAGCTGACCCTGCTGAGCTGGGGTGTTGGACTAGATGGTCCCATGAGCTCCCTTCCAACTTCAGCCTCACAGTTCTGTGCAGAAGAAAAAAGTGGTTGCAGTCAAGCAGCCATAATTCCAGTGAGATGTAGCAGGAAGACCTTGCCCTGCTGAAATTGCTTTGGTTCTCCCCAAAGGTAGATTAGAGATAATACAGATACTTGTTTAGTTTTTAGTAACTGCATATCTTTCCTCATTTCTTTCCATTGGTAAGCTAATCACAAGTTTATCACTAGGGTGACAGACAAGAAGATGACTGACATCAGTGTTCAGCAGCCTCAAATATGAATCAGACCTTGTTGTGTAGGCATCGAGTGAGCAGAGCTGCCACACCCCCATTCTGTTGGCCTGTGATATGCCAATCTATTTATAGAAATAATAGAAAATATGTTATACAGAAGATTATTTGTAAAGAAAACACTGAGATGCACCCATGTACTAACTGGCAGTGTTTCCTGCTGACCATAAATATCATTATTTTCATCAAAAAGCCTCCTAAAACCCTTTTTATCATGACATATTCTGCAAATGATTACAGCCTGTATTGTGGATGATCTGAGAAAAATCCAGAAGTATTTTAACACATAAAAGTTGGGTAGCACTAACTGCCATTGTCATTGAAGTAAGGGTAACATAGGAGAATTGATGAGTAAAATGCTTGTAGTCCATGAATGGGCTTGAATATAAGAGCAAGTGGCTTATAGATGGTGCAGTAAGGTGACAGACATGTATGGCTCAATGTATTAATTTATAAGCAAAGTTCTCGTGAACCTAATTGTTCATTGAATTCAGCTGGTGGAAGTACAGGACTGCATAATATTTCCAGCTGGAGTTCAAAATATATTGGATGTAGTTATCTGGTAAATATTTCATCTACCGATCCCTGAATTTATTTAAAAGTATGCACATATGTCTTTATTAGAACACACTGTGATTTATTTACAGCTTTTAAAAGGTGCCGTGTCCTCTCCCTCCCCCCCAAAAAATGTATGTTTTAGACAAGTAAATCTTGAATGTTTTCATGTACTCCCCTGCCTGTGAACATCTGAATCCTGGAATAAATCTCAGCATGCAGTTGTTTTTAAATACATCTTCTTTTTGCAGTGAAGCCATTTCTAAATCAAGAAGAGTATCAAAGAACCGAGAATATTGTTAAAAAATTTGAAAATGGGATTGGCAAAGAGCTGCATCAGAAATTACTGGAAAGAGCTAAAACCAGAAGGAATTGGGTACGTATGTAGATATGTAAATATCATAATTCAGCTTATTCCTTAGTTTTGTATGTGTGTTTCTCTGTCTGCTTTGCTAGAAGCAGATAGTGGAAGATACCAGTGTCTTTTTGGAGAACACATGATTAGTTGGTGGTTAGCATATAATTTTGAGAGGCACTTAGCTATAACTTTTTTTTATCTTACAGTCGTCCTTATGTCTGCCACTTGTCCTATGGATATGAACGTGCTTATCTATGTGTGATTTTTTTCAAAACTGGGGGGAGAAGAGTTCCCTTTCTAAAATGTTGAGTTGCTTACGTTCTATTACTTTAATCTACTTAAGCAGTATTGAATTTTAAGTGCTTGAAAATAAGAGCTAGATGTGACATTAGCATCAACGATTACTTTGTGAACTACTGTCCTGCCTCCTATTATTTAGGAGCTACTGCTCCAAATATTAAAAAATAATCAAAAATTGCATATGTCGTGCAGTGATTATTAGAAACTTAATGGCTGAAAATTATTCTGATGCTGAACATTTTTCATTTCCAGCTGGAGGACTGGTGGCTGAATGTGGCTTATCTTGATCTTCGCATATCAACGCAAATAAATTGTAACATGGGAGGCCCTGGTCCCTATATTGAACACTGCTGGCCTCCCAAAGAAGGCACTCAGATAGAGAGAGCATGTGTAAATATATGGCACACCCTGAAGTACTGGGAGCTGTTACGAGCGTAAGACTTTTAAGAAGAAATAATTGTTTCTAAATATTAACAATCTATGTGTACTTCAGTAGTGGAAATATGCTTTTTGCAATGAAATATAGGCTTGTCTTACCTTGATTTACTTGGATAATTATCACCCCTTGTGCTTAATTTTGGTATGTTTCTTTTAGAGAGAAAGTGCCTATAGAGAGATCTGGGAATGCTGTTCTGGACATGAGCCAATTTCGAATGCTCTTTAACACTTGCAAGGTTCCTGGAATTACCAGAGACTCACTCTGCAACTATTTTAAGACTAGTAAGTAAATGCAGATTCTGGGTTAATACAAGCAAATGATTTCATATTGTGGGGCTAACGGAGTGGTCATTTTAACCATCAAAGTTGTCTTCAAAAACTAAATCAGATACTGGATGTTGTGTCCTTATATAAGGAAGCAATCTAATCCACTGATTACTTTTTTTTTTTTGGTGCAATATTTAGTCCTTTCTAAATAAAGTTAAAAGAAGACTCTGCCTCAATTTGTATGTTACCAAGCTGATGCCTATTAGAAGTGTGATTGCATTACGAAAGGGAAGAAGAAAAATTCTGTATGTTACAAATGCGAGCATATTAGATGCATTATTTGGACAGAACATCAGCATCATTTGTAATTGTCTTTTTCCCTGGGTTGCTTTTCTGGAGTGTGTTCCTGTACATTCTGTTGGGACAGTTCTTACGTATTTTTCTATCACTGAGTTTTTTTTTGCTTAGTCAGTTCTTATTTTCAGCACTCCATGGTAATTCTTGAAGCCATTCTCTTAAATTTCTTGCAGTTTTTTTGGATGCATGGTCAAGAGATGGTGTGTAAGTGTAATGTTCTTATTTGTCCTTCTTTGATATGTATTGTAGTATTGGCAACCAGCAAATTGAAGTCTTAACACCCCTCTGACGCTTATTCTGATGCCTCTAGAGGTGTTCAGGCATGCTACTCTAGTTAATTGTGGGAGATATGAATTCCTACAAGACTCAGGAATTCGAGAGGATAGAGGCTCTGCAGGCCTTGCTCCACAGAAAATGTGTAAGGAAATCTCTGTGCCACGGGAAGCGTAGCAAAAATGCAAAGCAGAAGGCAAGTTTTGTGGGCTTTTCTTAGGGTTAAATTGAAGAGTCAAATACCAAAAGTAGAAGAAACATTCGAGCAGTGGAAATTCAATGTTATGATCACACTTAATGAACAAGGGTGGGATTTTGTGGATACACCAGTAATTCACATCCTTTTTTTCCCTTAAAATATTACAAGAGCTTTATTAAACAGTCGTGCTTATGTTGTTTTTCATGTCATACACAGCACATGAAATCCATTTCTAGGTAGATTGTCTTCCTCCAGGGGAAATGCTTAGCCCAGTTAGTTACTTTTGCTCTGTGTGATTCATGGAGTAATATGAGTACCTCTAGGAAAGGATTTGGGTTTTCTAAATATGCATATATGTAAGAGTAGCAGAAGAAATTGCTATCTGCAGAGAGATCTGTTTCTCTCCATTGGCTGTAAACACAGTCTCTACACAGTCTATGAACACTTGAAGTAAGATTTTGGACACCTAAGGTTTGACAGGTAATGTCAGGCTGCAGTTAAAGACCACACTAAAATGATCCCAGGTGATTTTGATCAATGGAGCCTGGAGAGCTGTTTGGTTTACCCTGCATCAGTCACCTTAATGAGAACAGAGAGCTCATAAATTTCAGTGTGTTGAGTAGATGTCCCTCAAGTGCGGTGTTAGGTCAGACACACAATTCTAGGTATCTTAACTTCCAAACTTAATTCTGCACCTTGCTTCAGGCAACTGCATTTAGGAGAATGCTATCAAAAATACCCCCAAATTGATGTAATCCCTTCTGATTTTTGTTACCTTAGATTTCACGTTTGTGATTTGTGAAAATGAGGTTTATTTAAAATGGTAAATTCCATGTTCTATAATGTCCTTGATCAGGTGCATACTGAGTTATATTACATTCTTCATAACGTAGAGCCACGAAGATAGATGTATAAGGGCCTTATGGTTAAGATTAAGGCTTTTGAGGGGCATGTGATGAGTTACGTATTTGTGGATAAAGTAGCGTATGTTTCTTCTTTGTCTCATGGCAGAGTGCAGTGGCTCAGTTTCAGAAAAAAGCGTTATTGCATTTTTCCTGCCTGCCTTTCACACTGCTTGTTTTTTAAACAAAACAAAACTTCATGCAAGAGAAAAATGCTTTCATTACTTCAGTAATGAACAACTTTCAGTAACTAACACTGGTTTCGGCAGAGGATGTTTCTGCCTACAAAATGCATGAGTTACTTAAATTTACTGCTAAGTAATGACAGTGACTTGAACTAGTTAATAATGGTGAAAGTTATGTGCTTATGTAGATTAGAGTCCTCTTAAAACTTTAGAATTGTAGTAAGATTATACAATCAGTCTTGAACTTTCTAATGCATTCCTTTTTAACTCTATGGAGTCTTCCTCATTTTGAAAATAAAATGGATTTGTAGGACTTGCTGAATACTTTTCCTTTATCTGTTGCTCACTTTCTCCCTAGTGTTGGATTTTCATGTTTTACTTTGCTTTGTTTCAGTGACTGAAGGTGAATGCCCATCTCACTTAGTAGTCCTGTGTCGAGGCCGAGTGTTTGCATTTGATGCTATACATGAAGGCAACATGCTGACTGCTCCAGAGATTTCCAGGTTTTCAGACTACCTTGCTTCAAATACTCTGTTCTATTTGAGCACATACTAAAGACAGTCTCTGTTTCTTTTCCTCCCACCCTGAAGAAGTAGGGGTGAGAGAGCCTGCAACTGAAGAGTAAGATTCTGGTAGATTTTGGTTTAGGAGGTAGCATCTTCTTGCCATGTATCATGGTGATATACTTCTGTAGTATACCCATAGAATATCACGCGAAAGGGCTTAATGAAGGTGTTTCAGTAGGAAAGATCATGTACGTGTGAAGCTTCTTGAGCAAGGAATTATCAGTCCTGTAACTTCATTTGTTTAAGGACCAGTCCTCACTGGTCACACTACAGTATCCTTTTGACTACACTGCATTCCTAACAGAGTGGAGGGACTGGATTTCCTATTGTTGAGTTCAGCAGCATCAAAAATCTTAGTATACATTGGCTTAGTATACGTACTACAGAGCAGTGCAGCTATATTTTGCTTGCATTTCTTATCTTTTCACCAGAGGTTCACCAGAGGAGGAGTGACTGTATGTGGCTCTTTTATAGCCCTAACCTGCTGCTGAGGAATAGAGAGAGAGAATCTTGCTCATTAAATAATAAATTTCAGTAGTGACATTTAATAGGAAAGAGTGCCAGAACAAAGGACGAGCCAAATTAGTGTCTTCAGTCTTAAACATCTGTAACTTGCTTACTTTCTTTACCTGGAACAGTATGAGGGGGGAAAAACAGATTTGCAAACTATAAGTTAACTCCCTGTTGACACATGCATGTGATGATTCCTACTGAAACAACTTCATTTAGCCCTTTTGCATTATGTTCCAAGGATGTACTACTGAAGTACAAGATCATGATGATTCTGAGGATGGGTTAATGGCTGGGCTGCATGATCTTAGTTTTTCAAATGGACAGTGCAAAGAGAAGGTAGGCATTCTTGTGTATCTTGAATGGAAAGACACAGTTACATGCTAACTACTGCTCTGCTATAAGCTGAGTTTCTGTTCAGTGAAAGTTTTGCTATTGTATCCAGTTAGTTTTATAAAGGCTGCAAAGCTGCAGTATTGCTGATTTTTGCTGCCCAGGAAAGTTTGATCTACGCTGTTGAAGTCTTAAATTTAATTTTAAGTACATTCATTGCACTTTAAGGTTGTGATTGTTAAATAATGATAAAATGTGTAGGTCTGTACTGAGCTGGTAGTTGCAATTGAAGTTAACTTTAGCAACTGAAAACAAAGCAGACTTCCAGTTGCCTTTAGCATCTGACTTGTATTCCTTACATTTCACATTAGCTTGTGAATGTGGAAACAAAAAGAAAAAGAGAGAGAAAGTGTGATTTTGATTCAGTCTCTGTATGTTCTTTGTTAACTTTAGTTTTTGAAATCTTGTTAAAGGCAACTTACATACATCCAGAAAAGATGCCATAGTGAACCAGATGGACCAGGACTGTCAGCCTTAACAAGCAATGAAAGAACAAAATGGGCAGAGGTTAGAATACTTCAACAGTATTTTTCCTCATTAAAGTATTGTGACCTCTGGAAAGATGTGATTTCACTTAGCTCTGTCACTTCTTGTTTTCTAGATACGTGACTATTTAATTAGTCTGGACCCAAAGAACTTAGCTCATCTTGAAAAAATTCAGCAAAGTTTGTTTGTAGTCAGCCTGGATGATTCTAGTCCCCACGCAACTCCTGAGGACTACACAGAGGTAGCTAAGGATTTTTGATAATTCTTATCTGTTCTTTATATATTCTGTTCTGTGTGTATATAGATACTCTGCATCTGCTCTTTCTGTGATAAAAATTAGCACTTCTTGCTCCTTCATAACAGAAAATGAAGCAGGAAAATGTTCAGGTCACATTTCATGTTGATCCATAGAAACAAATAGTTTGAATTGTTTGGACTTTGGAAGAGAGAACAGCTAAAATACACCTTTGTGATCTTTTAGCTCACAGTGCTTCGAGGTCCTCAGAAATACAGTCAGCAACTTGTTCGGACACTTGATTTAAACTTTTAGGCTTATAATCATGTTTCTTCTTCATCTGGATGAAAATGTCTCAGGCACGCCTTACCATGTTAGTGTAGATTTGGTTCAGCTGACAGAGGCTGGCAATGTGTTTGGTGTTTCTGGAAACCCACAGTGTGTAATTTTTGCTTTAGATAACGAGGCTGGGCCTAGGAGGTGATCCAACTGTGCGCTGGGGAGATAAGTCCTACAATAGCATATTCTTCTCCAATGGAACCTCCAGTGCATTCTGTGATGTAAGTATGAAAAAAAAAATCCACTTATAAACTATTCAAGTATTTATTTAATAAGCTCTTTCTTTCAGAGCGTTAAATACTTAATGTGTTCCCTTTTGGTTTAGACTGGCACCTTGCCTAGCAAGTTTCCCAAGCCACTCTGTTTTTGCAGTGTTGGATATTACATCATACTTGAATTAAGGTCTTCAGTTCTGAAATCATAATCTTATTTCTGAAACTACTTAATAAGGGAGTTTCTAAGTAAATAATAATAATAATAATAATTGCAGACAAAGGCTTAAAACGAGCCCTTTCTGTTGAACAGAATTATTTTTATACTGAAGTGGACGGGAAAGTCTGCATCATACTTAAAATCTGCTTCTCCATAGCAGTCTGTAGTGCCTGTCTAGCTGCAGAGCAGTCAAAGCAGCAAGAGAACTGGCATTAGTTGTTGCAGAAGCGTTGCAGAAGAACTAGAAAAACAAGTCCAACGCTGTGCAGTAATACTGTTAGTCTCAGGGGGAATAAGTAGGCCAGGGATTGAAAAAAAAATTAGATCCTCTTGCAGTCATGCAAATAATGCACTGTCTTGTCCTGTATGGTTACAGCATTCTCCTTTTGATGCCATGGCTTTAATCACCATGTTATCTTCTACTGAACAAAAGATTATTGAAAATGAGGGAAAATGGAAGGTATGTGTTCTTTAAGCTTCTAGATGTATTGGTTAATGGGTTTGTGTTGGGTTTCTTTTTGTTTGTTTGTTTTTAATGGATAACAGTTTCTCTTTTCTCTCTTTGCTTGTCTACTCCCAGGGATCAGATAAAGTGAGGGATATTCCATGGCCAGAGGAACTTATATTCACACTAGACCAAAAAATTATAAATGAAATTGAACGTACTAAAGAAATATATTATGAAAAGGTGGGATTTCTTGCTGTTTTTCCTGATTGTCACTGAATTTTTCACTGCATTTGTGCATTCTTTACTGACAGTCTTCATGCCAGAAAACAAGTGAATATGTTTTTCAGTTGGTGAATTGTGATTTGACCGTGGTTAAATTTGTACCATTGTTTTGTTACATTGATTGTGTTGTAGTTGGAGTGAACCAAGCTGTGATATTTCAAGTTACTTGACTTCTGTGTTGGTTTTTTTTTTTTCCTTCTGTGATTTGCCAGGTATCTGACCTGCAACTGGCATGTTATGCCTTCACATCCTTTGGTAAAGCCTTGATTAAGAAGAGGAAGCTTCATCCAGATACATTTGTGCAGCTTGCCCTTCAGCTGGCTTATTACAAATGTCATGGCCGGTAAGAAAAGCTCATTACCCAGATCAGGAATGAAAAAATAAATTATTGAAAAACAGCATAGATCTGGAGACATAATGCAGTGGCTTTGCAGTGTCTCTTTGTAACTTGCTATACTGATAAAACAATGAAGAAGTAAGGTTTTGTTTACTTTGAACGTTGTATACTTTTTTGCCACTGAAATTCAAGGGGCTTTTGCTCTTGACTTCCAAATAATTGTCTTTGTGCCCCATGGGGATAATGTGTGTACATAACGTGGAACGGAGGGCAGACAACAATCCATGAAAACATAGATTTGGGCTGCACAAAGTTAATAATAGGTTGAATACCAAACTTGTAGTGGATCAGGACTCTGTAATGCTAAGTAGTTGTTCAGGTGGAGAAGAAACTTTACCTGTAGCAAATGATTAAAAATGATCCGTCTTCCAAACCTGTGAAAAGCCTCATGTCTCACTTCCTTTCAGCACAATTAGATGTGAAAGTCAGGGCAAAATAATAGAGAAAGTGACTTTCCAGAAGCTTGGCTCAGTATTTTTGTGATATTTTAATTTGTATTTTTGGGAAGGGACAGCATTGTTCCTGGTATTGGGGTTCCCAAAGTCCTCTTTGCTAACTCCTCGTGCCTCATATGAGTCACTACTGGCAAGTACTGTTTGCTTCAGAGGGGAGAGTTTCTTCACAGTCATATGATGCTTAATCACTGGAAGTGCCAGTATCTCAGGATGCTAGATCTCATTTGCTAGACATTGGGAGTAAATGATTTGACTTAGAAAAAAACCCTCTTAAATTTGTTTTAAGTACACTGCTATGTTGCAGTTAAATTGTGTATTAAATATTAGAGTGGAATAAGACTGAGGACACTCCAGAGAAAAAGCTATCTGGGTATCAGTATGCAACAGATTCAGCCTTGTCTGTATAAACATAAGAGCATTGGGATACACTGCTTATTTCAAGTATCACTTAATCTTTGAGGGTTTGCATGGTGTAGATGATTCCTTCGATGGCAGTATGTGGTGAGAATGAATCTTGCATAGATTTACCTTAATTATATTAGAGCTGGTACATCTGCAGTTAGCAGAAAATAGCCACATTGACCCAAACTTCTCAAGATGGAATTACAGCACTGGCACTTCTTCAGTCATCTGTCACATACAAAATCTTGCAGAGCTCCTGTGGTTCCTTTTCAGACACGTAATTAAAATAAATAAATAAATTAGGGCCTTACTGATGCTTGTAACTGAGCTGGATGGATAGGATACTCCACAGAACATGGGGTTTGTTTGTTTGTTTTTCCCTGGACAGAGCACGTAGTTAAGTTAATGAGATTCTCTTCCTTAATTTTTCCTCATAGCCCGGGCTGCTGCTACGAAACTGCAATGACCAGGCGTTTCTATCACGGCCGCACAGAGACCATCAGACCGTGTACCATGGAAGCAGTAGAGTGGTGCAAATCCATGTTGGATCATTCTGCCACTGTAAATATGGAAACCCTATTTTAATTTGCAGTGTTTTAGAAGGCCTGTCATTTTAATTGCTAACCCTTTGTTTTACTACTGTCCCATTAATGAGAGCTGGCTTGTTTCCAGCGAGACAAACCTGAAAGACTGAGGTTGCTTGAGGTCTGGCTGTGGTCATTGTGACAGAGGTGAGCTGTCACATGTGGGCTTGTTCTGATAATTTTTTTTTCTGTTCTGTTCTACTTCGGTTTCAAGTCTGTCTTGAGGAATATTGTTACAATTGGAAAGATTAATGCGGTGGAAGGGCGATACAGGAATGCAGTAGCAAAGGGACCATCGTGGATAGGATGGTATTTCACAGGAAAAGTAAAGGTGCTCATCCATTTCCGAAGATCTAGGCTCGCAGAAAGGACTCCACAAGAGAGGGATCTCCAGCCAGAGATCCTTCCCCAGTGTTAGTCAGCCCTTAAATGGAATCTAGGAGAGGTGCAGCAAGGTTCCACCCCTTCTGGTCATGCAGCTGAATTGCCTTCACTTGTGCTCCCAGGGCTGACCTGGTCCTTTCCCAGATGATCTGTCAGTGGTTCAAGCCACGTCTGAACAGTTCCCATACAGATATTCAATCTGATTTTTACACCTTAGAAAATAACTAGCTAAGAACTACTATATTCTGCTGTGGAGTCATTCTGTTGTTTCAGTATTTAAGTGAAATGAAGAAATGTTAATCTAATCGTTGAGCTTGAGATCAAGATTAAAATCTGCTTGTTGTCCTGAGGGCAACAGGGATGTATTCCGGAGTTTGCCTGAGAGCAGCTCTGCCAAAGACCTTTTCCCAGCAACTGACCTGCAGTCCCTGGCTGGCAAAGGATTTCATGCTGTTCTTGCCAAGTGAAAGCTCTACAAAAACTCTGTTGTACTCATTGCGTTTCTTAGAGTTCTTAGAAATGAAACAAGGAAAATATTTTGAAACAAAGAGCTCTACATATTTTGAAGGAAATTCAGAGGTTCTATATTGTTCTGTTATTTTTTACTGGGAAACATGCGGGAATATAACAGAAATAACGTATGTGTGACCAAAAATTTGTCTTAGGTTTTTCAGGCTGGATATTAGGAAAAATTTCTCAGAAGAGTGGTGAAACAGGCTTCCCTGGGGTGGTGGCATTGAAGAAATGCATAGATGTTGCACTGAGGGACATTATTCAGTGGGCATGGTGATGATGGGTTGCCGGTTAAACTTGATCTTAGAGGACTTTTCCTACCTTAATTGTTCTGTGATGATTCTGTTTCCTAGTGTGTTGTGGTTTTTTTGTGTCTGAATGAAATGTTGGGGTCTTTAAAAAGCATTGGATTTCTTCAATGGTATTACAGTTAAGAGGATCAGAAGTCCAGTTTTAAAGTGCACAGCCCCCCCTGAATTTAGGTACTTTGGATGAAAACCCACTTATACCATGTTTTCTACTACCTGCAGTGAGCTCAGTAGCTAGGCTTTTGTCCAAATTGAGTGACTGCTGGCTGTGGTTCACATTCAGTTCTGCTGCCACTCATGAGGACAAAGGAGTTGTTCAAGTACTAGCAATCGAAGTACAAGCCAAGTTCTTGGGTGTCTAGATGTGTTTCCCTAGGCCTCTTTTACCAAAACATACATCTGTATTATGTTCTCTCTCTTTTTAATGTGTAAGTTTCAATTTAATATATTCATAAAAATCACACAATGATGGGCAGAATTACTGTCGTGGAAGTGAAGTTTCAATCAGTAGAGAATAGTGGGGAATGCAGTTGGCTTCTCTGTGTGTTTCAATTAGAGAGGTAAGATACACTTCACATTGTTTTTTTTTTGTTTGCTTTCCCATGCAAAATGACAAGCAAACCTGCAAACAGCTACTGTGTTGCATTGTTTCAGCTTGTATGGGGAAGAGCGTGAGGTTAGAATATTGTTCAGTACAGAAGTGACCCAGATAGCAGAACAGAGATTCAGGGAACAAATGAGTAAGTTGTCATGAGAAAGGAATTTGGATGTGAGAGAAAAGAGTTAGAGAAATTTAAGAAAATGGATGAGTCAGAAGGTTCTTATGTACCTTTCAATTCCTCTGTTTTCTTCTATTGCTAAAAATTGTGAAAGGAAGAACTTGTTGATCTGTGTCTGCTGATGTGTTACTCATCTGGAATGTTTTCTTCTCCTGTTTCTTAACCTGTTTCCCCTTACTTTGTACAGAATCATGAACGCCTACAGCTGATGCATGCAGCATTTGCAAAGCACAATAGAATGAGGAAAGACTGTGAGAATGGAAGAGGTACTCAGGGATCAGAAATTATTTGTTTCCTTGTGGGTAAAAAGGGAACGTATGCTAATGTGTTTTCTGTCTTGTTTTCAACTGCAGTAAAAACTACCCATCAACACTTCATATTTAAACAATTTTGCAGAGAAACTAAAGGCTAGTCCTTGCATCTTCCTTCAGCCCTAAAGACCTGTTCACTTTAAATATTTACTTTTTTTCTGCCAGTGAGCCAATTTCATGTGAAACTCCTCCTCCTTGCAGAAAGAGTTTTCTTGGGTTTTGTTTTCTGCAGGATATGTGCTCAGTTTGTACCACTTTGCTCATTTGATTTGGGCTCAGAGGTGCAAGCTTAACGTGATGATGGCATCTTTGACCAGCATTTGGGAAGTGTTTTTATATGCTGCAGTATGAATCTTTTTTTTTTTTTCAACTGGACTCTCTTGAATTTTATCTGTCCTTCAGCTGCTTTTCAAGCTTCCAGAACTGAAACAGCAGAAAACCAAGAAATGCTGCTGTTAATGATGCAGAACTTGCATTTCTTTTGACAGGATTTGACCGTCATCTCCTGGGTCTCCTTCTCATAGCACAGGAGCAGAGACTGCCAGTGCCAGAACTCTTTGTGGACCCCGCCTTCACAGCCAGGTAACTGGTGGCCTTGTACTGTGGAGAAATTGGATCTCTTGATCTGCATGACAAAATTCACTTTTGTTTTGTGATGTTTTACAGTGGAGGAGGTGGGAACTTTGTTCTTTCAACTAGTTTGACCGGCTACACCAGATTTAGTGGATGTGCGCTCCCTATGGTACATCACGGCTATGGCTTTTTTTATGCAATCAGAGATGACAGGTAAGGATGTTGTTTCATTTTGGATGTGGTTCTGACTGTATCATGATGGGAAAGGCAGCAAACAACTAGGATGAGGAAAGGAAAAGATGAACATGGCTGAACATGTCAGAAAAGGTTGAAAAGTGAGATAAAGGAGAACAGAGGCATTAATATTCTGAAAAACACAAGTAGGCAGACGGACATATGGTGGAGGTGAAGTGACAAGATACTGACAAGGAGCAGAAAGCAAAGAGTGGGAAAATTGAGAAGAGGAACAACCTTTAAAAATAAGCGTTGTTCTTAGACATCATTAACTGCAAAGGTGTTAGTAAAAAAAAAAGGTAGCTATTGCCTGGGATAGACCAGCTGGAGTACAGGAGAGCATGGAGTAAGGAGGAGAAGTTAACGCATTTGGCTTCACTTCTCATAAAAGGATATGTAGGGAAAAATGCAACTTTGGCTTCCTCACCTTCTGGACAAAAATTACTGCTTGTTCAGCAAATGAATTAAATGGAGTGCATTGAGATGACCTGCTTTTTTATGATTTAGTTTATTTTGGATGGCTTGTGTCTAAAGCTGACTGCAGATTTCATTGCGGATTGGGTTCAGTTTCAGCGTACAAACCAATATGCTTTCACTGTTGCTCTGTTAAAATAAATAGATAAAGGTTGAGATGTAATAGGTAAATAGAAAGAAAAAAGTACTTTAACCTTAAACTAGTTGCAGAGAATAATTGAAGTATTTTCAAATGTAAGCAAAGCGATGTCACTGTGTGTGTAGAAATCAAAATACCCTGTTTCAGTATCTGTAAACATTGTCATTACTGAAGGCACCAGGCCCCTGTATTTTCTGGATGTTGAGGTAACTTGTTTATTTGCCAGTTTTTGATTCAGAGCTTGTTGATAATTTGATATTTCAGAACAATTTGTGTAATGTGTCCAAGACTGTGACAATTCAGAGTGATAACTCCATTGTTTTCTGTATTGACAGGATCGTCGTTTTATGTTCTTCCTGGAAGTCGTGCCCAGAGACCAGTGCAGAAGTGCTGTGCAGAACTTTATTCCAATGTTTCCAGGACATACTTCAGTTAACAGTTACATCTCAATTATAAAATTGATGATGATAAGAGCCTTTGCAAGTTCACCAGTTATTTGTAGTACTTACTTATAAGTGAAACGCAGTGTAAGAGAACTGTTTTTTTAAGCTAAGACTTCTGATAATTTGCATGAAGTCTTCCTCTTTTGGTGGGATCTACACTAAGTAATGTGGCCATTTGCAACAGCAATGCAAGCAGTAGAACTATGCAATATGACATGCCTCAACAATGCAAACACTTTTGAGAAACATGGTGTTGGAAATGGAGAACTTTTGGGAGATTTGTATTTATGATCTTAGTAGTAGCGTGTAGTCTAATGGTACTGTTTTTGCCAGTGGAGCACTTAAAACTGTACTTTGGAATAACCACACAATTGTCTTAAGTAAGTGATTGTGCTGCCTATTTGTAGTGGTTTATGAAGTAGCCTGATGGGGGCAGCCCTTCTATATGCTATTTTCTAAATTCTTTCGTTTTTGCTACCTGGATTGCATAAAATAAATGCATCTCTGTATAGAGATGTTCCCACGGCATTTATAATATACGAGCACAACAATGTGAAGTATTTTGAATCTCAGTAATACAGAAAGTAGCATATTAATTCAGAATGCATTGGAGTTTACATCATCTAGTGAGCTGTGAATTTCTCTGCTGCTTACACTAGTAATACTCAGTAACAGAAAGCACTGAATCCAGTTTGAGATTCTCGGGATTTTAAGACTTGATTCCTCTGTTTGAGCAGCTTTTAATCTTACTTAAAAAATAAAATTATTCAAAAAATCAGTGTTGTACTGTTGGGGAACTGATGCTGAACTTGAAACTGGGATTCTAAAGTACCCCTTGCTTTCTTCTCAATTTTTGGAAGAGATTAAGGATGATTATGTTTTTTACAGCAACAGCTGCATCCTCAGCTAGCACTGATCCCCTCTCCTTGCCCCTCAGAAGCTCTGGTTGGTACAGGGACAAGGTTATTTTATACGGCCTGAAATCTGATGAAGGGTAGAAAAACCTAATGAAGGATGGAAATTTGTACAAGGAATATGTTGGTGCCTTCTGCCTGTGAGTGCTAGTGCATTCTGTGTGACCAAGAGCTATTCCTTTTCTTTGTGGAATTTGCTTTCACAAATTCTTTTGGCTGCCTATTGGCATTTGTCTCTCTGCCATAGTTCTCTCTCTGGAGGACAGAGAGAGTAGAAAGCTGTAACACGTAGTTACCATGATCCTCTAGAGGCAGCTCCTGAATCCTGAACAGTAATAACTGGTTTTCATCCCTTTGTTAGATGCAGCCTATTTAAGAGCCTCCTGCCATGGACCTGGACACTGTATCTATCTTTGCTCTGGAGGGCATCTGTGCTCTGTACATACCTCTGTCCTCAGCCCTTCTCCCTATTTTTATATAGCAGAGCTGAGTGGCAGCAGTGCTCTGCTCAGAGCCCTGTGAGACAGAATGGGCTGTCTGCACCCTGAGAGCTGTACTGGCAGTCTGGCAAGTCAGCTGGACTTTTTGTAATCACTGTGTACCTTTTATTTGTGCAGCTGTAAAGTTTTGCACTGACAGAAGAACAGTCAAAAATGTAAAGTTCTTAAATAACTGAGGTACGCTTTTTTTATTAGTCGTGGGATTTAAGGAAGCTATTTACAGAATTTTAACAAACTAGAAGTACTGAAATACCCTAAGTAAGTAATTTCATACAAAATAATGAACCAGCTGTACAGCTGCATTTCAGCAACAGATGCTGCCCATTGTCATACAGTGCGAGGCCCACTTTGAACATTGACCAGTGAATAGTAGAAGCCTTTTTCAGCCAGGAGCTGCTGATGAGACCCTTGCTCTATGACCTTGCCATTCTGGATCACAGCAATCTTGTCAGCATTCTGGATGGTGGACAGGCGGTGAGCTATCACGATGCAGGTGCGGCCTTCTCTGGCTTTATCCAGTGCTTCCTGCACAATCTGTGCAATGAACAAACCAAAAGGAAGATCAGCCATGCCACAGTTCAGGTCTCAGGCTGCAGAGAATGCCTGGCTCTGTCACTGCTATTGGAGGGCAGCCAGGATACCACCTGTGTGCAGAGTGAGCTGGTGGATGATCTGCTCATCCTGGTGGTAGAGCTAGAGGAAATAAATAGAAAGGCTGAGGAGCCTTTGGTAGACTGGTAGAGTCACACTCTGCCATCCCTATAGGAAGGGTGTGGGGGAGATGGGAGTGGGGGATTATCTATCTGCTGTCTCCCAGTCAGGGCTTAGGGAAGACTTCTGGAGGGATCCAGGAGCACCAGCTGTGTTCTCCTCTGGCCTCTCAGTGACTGGGATCAGCAGAAAAGGAGGAGGATGGACACGCTGAACTGTGTGAAGCACTGAATGGCTTTGTGAATGGTGTCATACTCAGAGCTTTGAGTACTATAGCTTGAAGCCTTGAGAAAGGGGGAATGCTGACAGCAGACAGGAGCCCACTGACTAGAAGGGCCACAAATATTCTTGAAAACAAGCTGGCTGGGATGGTTAGCAGGGCTTTAAACTACTTATGATGGCGGAAAGAGTGACAGAGAAACATGGGAATGCTGTCAGCTTGGGAGGCAGTAAGGGAAGACCTCAGACTTGGCCTAGAGGTGCTAGGGAGGGCTCCACTGAGAAGGCAATTAGGCCAATAGCTAAGCTGAAGTGCCTCTACCAATGCACGCAGCATAGGAAATAAACAGGAGGAGTTAGGAACTGTGGTGCAATTGGGGAAGTATGACCTAATTGCTATCATGGAAACACAGTAGGATAAATCCCATGACTGGAATACCCTGTTTGAGGACTACAGGCTTTTCAGAAGGGATAGACTGGGTAGAGGGCAACTCTGCCACCCCTCCTCTGTTAGGAAATGGATAGAGCAAACTCTCAGCTGCTCAAGGAACAGGAACTGGGAAACTGTCCTTAAGGGCACGGACATAGAACAAAGCTGGCAGCTCTTTAAGGACACCCTTCTGAGAGGGCAACAGCTCTCCAGCCCCAGCAGAAGAAGTTGAGGAGGGGAGGCAGCCGACCATTGTAGCTGTTCAAGGACCTGCAGCTTAAACTGAGAGAAAAGAGGGAAATAAAAAGAAAGTGGAAGCAGGCATGTGTAGTCTGGGAGGAATACAGGGCTGCTGTCATATGTCCATGTGCTTAGAGACAGGAGTAGGAAAGCCAAGGCGCAGATGGAGCTGAACTTGACAATGGATGTGAAAGATAACAAGGGGTTCTAAAGGTACATAAGCAGGAGGTGACAGGAAAAAACACAAACAAAATTCTTCTATATACCAGTTGGAGCTTTAACATATGGGTGACAACATCCCAGCCACAAGTCACCCAGCCAACTTGCAAATCACAGTTCCAGTTTGCAGAGCTAAAGTACCTTTTCGCTTTCTGTATCCAGCGCAGAGGTGGCTTCATCCAGCAGCAGGATGCGGGGCTGCCGTACAAGAGCTCTGGCAATAGCAATGCGCTGCTTCTGACCACCAGAGAGCTGTGTTCCTTTGTCTCCCACACATGTATTGTATTTCTACATAAAGAAACTAAGCATCAGTGTGGATTTGGATTTGATCCTGTTAGTATGACACTTCAGCTGTGTTTCCACATAGGGACAATTCTAGGCAATCCCAAGTAACAGAGCAGGTGAGTGTGAGCAGCCCACATGCAGAACATCTCTCTGTGTACTCAGCTGCAGAGCACACCCTGTGGTGCTGAGCAGGAGCAGTGCTATTTAGCTTTGGTGAGGGATTAGGATGAGAGCAGGACTGAGTCACTGCAAACCCAACAGCCTTGGTAGCCTGGCCCATCTGCTTACCTTTCACCATTCCTCTGTAAGAAAAAAAACAGCCTGAGAGACATTGTAAGTAATTGAGGATGAACTGGAAGCCACTCAAATTCAAAACCTAATTCCTATTTAAAGTAAATACAAAGTTACTCAAGAAATTTGATTCCAGCTCTGCACTCCCTTCTTTGTTGGAGTTCTTGACTGTCCACTATGTAAATAAATGTACCTCTTGTGTCTGAGAGATTAGATCATGTCTCCTAAGCACGTTGGAATTCACTGCTTCAGAAATGTCTCTGTGGTTTCTACAGGAGTAAGGAGACAGACAGGCTTCAGCCTATTGAGCAGCAGCTGGGAGGCTCTCTGCTTGCGCTGACTGCAGCAGCTGCTCAATAGGACACCAGCAGGTCTGGGATCTTTCCCCAGCATAACTGTTCACAACAAAAACTGCTTTTCCCTTCAAGGTGCTGCTTAATTTATAGCAAGAAGTCCCACCATACACAAGAATCAACTTATCAGAGCAAGAAAAGCAAGAAAAAGTGGTAACAAGATGATGCCTTTCTGCCTGTTTTCACAACCCAGCTCCTGAGTGATTTCCTACACTTGGCCAGTGAGGTGACTGTTGGAAAAAGGAGAGTTGAAGCAGAGCTCTGGGTCTGCCTTAGCATTTTCCTGTTGCTTTCACTTAACTGGAGGAAAGCACTTATCTCCTTTTCCAGCACTTCTTTTTATGTCTTCTGCTCTTCCATGCAGCACATCTATAACTTGCCAGAGTGCCAATACCAATTAGGCTATTATTTAACAGACACTACTCCTGGAGAGATGAACACCCCTCCAATTCAGACATGAGCAGCACTGGAATTGAGTAATGCCTACAGTCACTAGCACCTCTTAGATCTCAGATCTTCTAGGTGATTAAAAAAAAACAAACAAACACACAAACAAAACAAATACGAATGTCAAATTCAGCAAACTTGGGAAAAACAAAATATTTTTCCTGGTATTTCCTTAGAAAAACATGAATATAGGCACTATACTTTTCCCCCATTTGCAAGGTAATTACCTTTGGTAATGATTCAATGAAGGAATGAATATTGGCTGCTTTTGCTGCACTAACGATTTCCTCATGGGGCACCTCCCGACTGTTGTCCCCATATGCAATATTTTCAGCAATGGTGCAGTCAAACAGGATTGGTTCTTGTGAGACGATACCAATCTGAGCTCTCAGCCATTGGATATTTAGTGTCTTTGTATTTCGGCCATCCAGAAGCTAAAAGACCAGAAAGAAGATAATATGATCACAGTACTTTATCTTTGGCTTTATTACTGTTAATCATATATTTCAATGTTTTTTATCTAGCAACATTGCAGCCTTTAGCAGCCAGGGCATTTCATGCCCTCAGTGTTGGCTTATGCAGTTTCGTGCAGCAGTAGAGGCAGGCAGATGAGTGTTAAAGCTTTTCTATGTTTACAATCAGTAGAATATGGGGCCCTGGCAGCCTGGTCTAGCATTAGGTGGGATGGTTGGTGGTCCTGCGTGTGGCAGGGGGGTTGCAGATTCATGATCCTTGAGGTCCCTTCCAACCCTGGCAATTCTGTGATTCTGTGAATATGATCAGAAATCTCTATAAACCTAGACAAACTCCAGCTATACGAAGCCATTTCACTGCCCCCTACTTGTTTATCACTCCATCTAGAAGAGCTGATACAGATCTACTTTAGCTGCCAACATAGTATTACTACTACAGACATGTGGTACTACAGTGGTGACAGAAATACCTAATTCAGAAACCAAAAGAAAATCCATACCACATAGTGCTTCTGCTCCTTTTATTAGCAGCTTTATCCCATCTCTGTTTTCCTAATCCACATGTCCTGGCTTCTCAAATGACTTTAATGGGGGACTGTAATGGGCACAGAGTCCTAACCCCATAACTGAATATCCTCTTTGCACCCCAGGGAGAAGTCTTCTACCACCATTTGCTTGTGTAAAATGAGATACGTGTGAAAGAGTATCTGCACTGGAGCTCCTTCTCTTCTTGTATTGCACTTATCTGGACATCAGTATCCACAGTTCTATGTTTAACTGTCTATGCTACAAGGATGACTTATTTTGTCAAAAATATGGATCCATATTTCTGCTTTATCCTGATGACTTCCATCTAAAGCAGAACTAATGAGTCAGATTCTTCAAGATCCAAGAAGAAACCTTTCAGATTTTCTCCCTCCCCCCCCATTTTCTCCATACTCAGTTTGTATCCAACAGATGAAAAAGGACTCAATTCACAAAGTGCTGCTGTTAGAAGAATTGCTGGTGCAGGAAAAAACCAAACGCAGCTCTCCAGCAATGAACTAATTAGTCCGGAACTCAATCCTGAGCTGAAAGCAGAACTTCTCTTAAAACACTCTTCTTCCTGTAGCCAGAGCTATCCAAATCTGACATAAGCATCTCTGTCTTACGTTCTGGACTAGAAGGGCTCTGTATGCGAGCAGCTTTGCAGCCACAGCTTCCTGGACTGTAAGAAATCATGGTGCATTGAGGTGACTTATGTACTACTAATAGCAGTAGATGGATGCGAATATAATTACTGTGTAGCTATAGCACCAATTAAATCAGAAATTCTTAACAACTCTCTTAGGACCTGTGTGTCTTAATTATTATTATTTTTTTTTTTAAATCATAATTACCAGGCAGGTAAGAATTGGAGAAGTTTAAGATCTGCTCTTACAGACATCTGACATCTCACTGATGCCATGTGCATCTGTGCAGCCTCTCTCTGAGGTTGGAGATGGATAAGTAAATGACCCAGAGTACGTTTGAGATGGCTTCATGGATTTTGAAAACAAGCAGTCAGTCACAGATAAAACTGCTTTTTATCAGTTGTGCTACTTTCAGAATGGATCAGCTGTCAATACCTTTGCTACATGCGTACCTTGGTAAGGGTGGTGATCATAGAAATGAACAGAAATAAGGTGAGAGAGTCTGCTTATGCCCTTTAAACTTAGAACAGGCCTCAGCCCTTACAAATTTGCCATGGTATCCTTTTCTGTTTGTTACAACACACATTCAGCACTAAAAGAAATACAAAGATCTCTTCAGAAAATAGCTCTAGGGTACAATATAAAGAAGGGGCTGCTATTACAACTTGTAACCTGCACTCATCTTACTGAAAACAGCAATTTCTAACAATTAGTCTGGACTGAGCCTCCATGATACTGCTTCTGTCTCTGGTCAGGCCAATGTAACAATTTCTCTCCACTGGACCTTGTTCTAGTAACTCGAAACAGCACAGGAAATCTAGAAATTTTACTTTACTTTCACCATGATTGTATAGAGAATATTGAAAATCCATGTGTTCTTGCCTTTAATTAAAAAAAAAAAATCAAAAATGATATTAGAAACACCAACAAAAGTGAGTCATTATACAAGCAAATACTTAGGAACTTTTTCTTCTAAATCATCAAATAAACTACATGAGTAGAATTTATTAAACACGTGTCACGTACACAGCCTACATCTCTACAGGGAACACTTACCACTTCTCCACTGAGCGGATCATAGAATCTCTCAAGCAACTGAACAACAGTGCTCTTTCCACAGCCACTGCTACCAACAAGGGCCAGAGTTTGTCCTTTTTCTACTGCAGTGTTCAAACCTTGGAGCACTTTGACCTCTGGGCGGGTTGGGTATTTAAATGCCACATCTTTGAATGTGATGTTTCCTTCAAATATTTTCTAATTGAAATGGTAGAAATAGATGAGATGTTTTTAGGATAATCTAACATAAAAAACCTATAGTATAACAGATAATAAGAGTCTAAGAAAAACATTCCTAGAAGAGATCAGTGGGAATTTTTTCAAGTGAATCATACCTTTCTTTACTCCATAGAAATTAACATGCAGTGAGAAGCTGCTACAAAAATACAAGTTCTCTCCTAAATATTCTACTCTGCAAGTATATTTTAATAAAGGTTTACGGAATCAAATTTTAAAGTAGAATGATTGCGCTTATTTCAAGTTAACTTACTATAAAATAGGTATTTGTGATATGGATATTGCCCACACAAGAAGCAATTTAGTTCATATAAATAATTATATATAAAAAGAAAGCATGCAAGTGAACAATTAACACTTAGCTTAAATTTATATTTCATGAGACATCATTGCTAGTCTCCTCTAAAACACATATGTATATAAAGGCAAGTGCCTATATATGGATATATATGCATGTATGTGCACAAAGGCTGCTCCAAAAGTAATGCCTTCTATTCCATTATGTTGGCCAGTGATGTCAGAGGCAGATGTTGACAGTGTATTGCAGTAGAAGTTGAACCTTTCCACCCATATCCCATTACATTTTATTGCCGTGTAACACACAGCAGCAGAGGGGCAGGCTGACAAAACGGTGTCTGACATATAAAGCAAAGATGTGGAACTGAATTCCTCCATGCAGAAAAAATTTCACCCATTGACATTCATCAATGCTTGCTGAACATTTATGGAAGTGAAACAGTGGATGTGAGCACAGTGAGGCAGTGAGTGGTGCGTTTCAGCACAACTACGTGAAAGACAAGCCACCCTCTGGTCACGCACAATTTCCACACCACAAAATGAAGAGTCTCAATCCACACAAATCAGCAGATTATGAGCAGCAAAATGCATACAGGGCTGATATCAGCTTCAACGTGATGGAAACGATGGTGACAATGTTGGAACATCACAGTTTGTGCCAGGTGGGTCCCACAAATGTTCACACAGGAACAAAGTGAACACCGTATGCAAGTATGTCAGGACCTATTGAACCATTACAAGGCTGAAGATGACAGTTTCCTGGATCATGTATTACCAGTGATGAGACACAGTTATCACCACTATGAGGCAGAGTCAAAACTGCAGTCCATGGAGTGGCAACATGTGAATTCCCCACTGAAGAAAAAGTTCAATATGTGAGTAAAGTGATGTGCACTGCCTTTTGGAATAGGAAAGGACAGATTCTACTGGATTTCCTTGAGCCAGAACAGAGCATCAGCTCTGACCACTACAATGTGATGATGGCTAAACTGAAGGCTTGAAGTCCCAGAATCAGGCCAGAGGAGACGACAGCCTCTCTCCTACAACACAGTAACTTCAGGCCCCATACCCATTTGAAGACAGCAGAACACATTGCCAATCTTGGCTGGACTATCTGACAACACCATATACTTGGATTTGGTGCCTACTGACTTCCATCTGTTTGAGAAAATGGACAGCACAGGGAGCATTTTCTCAGCAACAATGCCGTCATAGCAGCTGTGAAACAGTGGATCACTTCTACTGGTGCAGATTTTTAAGAATGCAGCATACAGATTCTTCCTTATTGCAATTTTGCTATTGCAAAAATGCCTAGATAATAGTGGTGACTATATTGAAAAATAGCTTTTTATATGTGCACGTATATACATAGGTGTAACATGATGAAAAGTGCAGCAGAGCAGCAAGATCCCAGATTGCAGCAATGAGAGTTTACTCAAATGCAACATCCACGGGCACAGAAACAAAGAAAAGAAGCTGCTTACCTTCAGAAGGCCTCAGGCATGCAGGGATCTCCAAAGAAATACCTTTCCCTCCACTGCCAACCCTTAAATGAGGTCTGGGAAAGGGTGGATCCTGGCTGCATCTCTTATGGTTGATCACTCAGGTACATTGCATACACCTGAGCTCCCCTGGGTTGGCCCTGCCTTCCCACCAGGTGCTCAATCACTAGTTCAAGCTGTGACTTAGCATTTCCACTACAAGAGATAACTCCAAAAGTAACAGAGAATCACAGAATCACCAAGGTTGGAAAAGACCTACAAGATCATCCAGTCCAACCATCCACCCAATTATCACCAATAGTTCTCACTAAACCATGTCCCTCAACACAAAATCCCTCAATCCAAAATCCTTGAACACCTCCAGGGTCAGCGACTCCACCACTTCCCTGGGCAGCCCATCCCAGTGTTTGACCACTCTTTCAGAAAAGTAGTATTTCCTAACGTCCAGCCTAAATCTCCTCTAGTGCAGCTTGAAGCCATTCCCTCTAGTTCTATCACCAGTTACATGAGAGAAGAGGCCGACCCCCAGCTCACTACAACCTCCCTTCAGGTAGTTATAGAGAGCAGTAAGGTCTCCCCTGAGCCTCCTCTTCTCCAGACTGAACAATCCCAGCTCCTTCAGCTGCTCCTCATAAGGCCTGTGCTCCAGACCCCTCACCAGCTTTGTTGCCCTTCTCTGAACCTGCTCCAGAGCCTCAATACCTTTCTTGCAGTGAGGGGCCCAAAACTGGACACAGTACTCGAGGTGCGGCCTCACCAGAGCTGAGTACAGGGGGACAATCACTTCCCTGTTCCTGATGGCAACATCATTATGATGCAAGCCAGGATGCCATTGGCCTTCTTGGCCACCCGGGCACCCGGGCACATTGCTGGCTCATGCTCAGCTAAGCATCAATCAATACCCCCAGGTCCATTTCCTCTACTCAGACTTGTAGCCACTCCGCCCCAAGCCTGTAGTGTTGCCTGGGGTTGTTGTGGCCAAAGTGCAGGACCCGGCATTTGGCCTTGTTGAATTTCATCCCATTAGCTTCAGCCCAGCTATCCAGCCTGTCCAGATCCCTCTGCAGGGCCTTGCTACTCCCTGGCAGCTTGGTGTCATCTGCAAATTTACTGAGGGTGCACTCCTCCTATTTATTTTATTTACATAGAAACTACAAGAGATACAAAGAGCACAATAATATTATTTGATTGAACAAATTCTCAGCTAAAAAATACTATTTTTCAGAAGTCATCACCATTTTCTATGCATTTTCACCAGTGATGCAGTGATGCAGTTGCACCATCCACCACCTCACTGTGCTCACATCAACTGTTTGATTTACATAAACATCCAACAAGAATCAAGGAATGTCAATGGGTGAATTTTTTTTTTTTTCTGCATGGAGGAACTCAGTTCCACACGTTTGCTTAATATTCGCTTCTGTGTTACACTCCATTTTGTCAGACTGCCTGCTACTATGCTGCCATCTGTCACACAGCAACAAAATGGTAGGTAATGATATAGGAAAACTTAAACCTCAGTTTGGTTGAATGACTCAGATGTGAATGAGTTCACAGTGTACTTGTCTCAGTGGCTTTGATGTGAATGACAGGAAGAAAAAGCAGGCTTGAAATAAAGTAGTGGTGCATGACATACTGTGCATAACACCATGTTTACTTACAGGTTTCTCCCCTTCCTCACTGTAGCTGTCTATTAATGGTACTCTTTCAAACAGCAGAAACAAGTGAGCAGCTGACATCTTGGCTTTAGCATAGTCTGGAGTGAAAGAAGTGCTTTGTCCTAATGCCATTGCACCAAATACAATAGCTGAAAACACTCTGTAAAAATAAACAGGAGAAAACTTGTTACTTTTACAGCTCAGGCACAAAAAGCTTCTATGGCCAGAAGAGGGTCTTCAGACAAATAACTACTCCTTAGTAAGGTTGAGAGAGGGTAAAAACTTCAGAATTTTTCCTTCACTGAGAAAATCTGTAATTTCTTTTTAGGGAGGACAGTAGCTTCCCATTCTTGTCCACTCAGCTGGATTTATTAGAAGTTGATGTTTTGCTTTCTCTTTCTATTCTCAATGCATGAGGTGCGGTAGGATGTGTTGTTCGTTGCAGTACAGTTTCCTCATCTATAAAGCTGCAGTTATTAGTTTTGGAGATTTATGGAGAAATTTGTCACTCAACATTTCCTTTGAAAGGCCCAGTCTTCCTCACACAGTCCAGTCCTTGAGTTCAGGAACAAAAGGCAAAGGATGCAAGCATGAAATTGGAGTCAGCAATGAGCAGTACAAGAATAGGTACACAAGAAAGGATTCACATGATTGCATAACGAAAGGGATGCTAATGCTTGTACATGAGAAAGTGTTGCTGTAATCAGCATGAGATGAATGTTTAGCTTCAGTAGTAATTTTTGCCAGGCAAGAGTGTGGCAAGTGCCAAAACAAAGCATGGGGTGTGCATGGAAGACAACGTGACTATTGACAAATATAGATTGGAATTTCATCTGCAGGGAGTTGAAGGAAGACTTGGTTAGATGTTGGAGATGAGGGAGGTAAAAGGGTGGAAAGGTGCCAGCTGATAGAAGCAATAGCATCCGTTCATTGCTAGCACTTGAAGAAGCTTTTCCAACTCTACCTGGGAATCTTTTAGAATGGGCATTTGTTGAATCTTTCTCCTGCTCTCTACCTCTCTTGCCCCAGGGCTCATAATTTCCTCACTTTTGTTTCACTCATTACTTGCTCCACTTATCTTTTAATCTTCCCCACCTATGCTCCCTACAGCTAGGCCATGTGATTCTGTTGTTAAAGAAAACTTGTTGGTCATGAAAACAAGGGATGGCTTGGCCTTGCCTAACGTTGTTTTGCCTTCCTGTGTAACCTGATCATGAGAAAATGCAGTCTAAAAGTGACACATTTTGGATTTGTTGCAATGTGAGAAAGGAGGGGGAGTGTAAGGATGGAAGTATTTAGGTGGTTTTCTTTCAGTTGTATTTCACGATACCTACAGGAAAATCAAACATTTTCCCAGATGGACCCAAAAGAATCTAAAGAGGAAATACTTACAAAAGCACATCTTTAAACCGCATATGTCCATTTTTTACTAGATATGCACCAAATCTAAAACATCCAGCATAAGTGAAGTACATAATAGCTTGTGTAAAGGCAAAAGTAAATCCGAAGATATGTGCCTTTTTTACAGAATTTCTGTAATGGAAAAAATATATTATCAGAATTCTATTGTGCACTCAGTTGTAGCAACCAAGAATGTGATGAGTGTTGTATAACTCAAAGGAATCCACAAGTCTTTATTAGCTTAAAGTAAAATATCTCCAGTTCTCAGTCCTAACCTAAAACATTATAATTTCTGTTTTCTTTCTGCTTGCAGAAACTCGTGACAATATTGGTACAGAAGAAAAAAATACTCAATATTTTGAGCATGCACAATTGGTATTGTTTTCACTGCATGCATTCAATAAAACAATGTAAAAAATAATAATACAGGTGCAATTTAAAGATTCACCTAACAGATGAGAATAATCAAGAACTTCAGAATTTCTACTGAGCAGACACTACTTCAACAGAACAAATCTTCGTGCTTTTTCTTATGTTGAACCAAAAATCTTAAAATAGGTTGTGACATTCATGAGGTTTCACATCATCTACAACAGTACTTTGATAAAATATCAGAGTGTGCAAATAATTGAACTGCTGTGCAGCTCTGACATTCTGGTTCCCTCCTGGGAAAACCCCATTGATTTTAACAGGGATCTTACCTAAGCCTATAGGCAAAACATGATTTTTGGCTTGTTATGCAATGTATTTACTCAGAATGAAGGCCTCATTATAATTAGAAATATTAAAAGTTTGCATTTCAAGAATTATGGCAGCTAATAACCCTATTATCATGGTTCAAGAAAACTGTTATTTAATCAGAGTGCTAACTTGAACAGGAAGATAATCTGTACTTTCCACGTTCAAGCTGAGTCTGGAATTAAAAACTTCATGATGCGTTGACAGAAAATAAATGTGATTCAGCTGATTGTGATTTGTGCTAATTTTAAAAAGAAATATTGTAACATCTTTCCAAGAAGCTTTTTATTACCTGTATGACACTTGCAAATTTTGTCCATACATGTACTCAAATTTTCTTTCCCGAGTCAAAGCAACAACAGTTCGAATATTTTCTATGGCTTCAGAAGCAATCTGTAATATCAGAAAAACAAGATTATATGGAAATTTTTAAGCCTAATCTGCAAAACAGAATTTAGAATGACTATGATAGAAGTGACAGAACATAACTACAATACTGTTGAAAGTGCATGATTGCAATATTTGTAGATATGCTTCTGATAAATAAAATCCAATAAGCATGTATTATAGCAGTGAAGTTGAGACAGCATGCATTTTAGTACAGGCCAGCAATGGGAGCTTACTCTGCAGCAGGCCTTTGCAACTGCTATCCAGCTTTAATTGCTAGTACCTGGTCTGGCTAAACTGAACAAGCCTTCATCACCTTCAAATGGATTTGGCCACAAATTTGATCTCACCCTAAAAGAAACAACCTTTCCCAGTTGCCTTCCCAACATTTTTGCAATACTAGAAGTCTTTCAAAACTCTGACAGGAGAAAATCAAATCTACTGCAGATTCATAAAAATATGTATTTTCCTGGCCCATAGGACAGCTTGGCAGCTAATTCCTATTAATTTTATATCTGCACATCTTCCCATTTTGCGATAGAAAAGATAAATAATAAGGTTAGAAGTTTCCAAAATGATTAATGATGTTATGTACTTGAACTTGACTGAAAACAAGTGAAAGTTCAGATCTTCATTTTCTTAATACTCCCCTAGTATAAAGGGGAATTACTTGCAGTTAACTAATATCATCAGCAAATGTTTTCTTATAGACAATTTATTCAGGCTTAGACAACAATTCAGCAAATAAAAAATCAAAATGTAAAACACATTGAAATGTGTTTTTTTTAAGTAAATTCATAAAGCACTAGCTCCAGCTAGTAATTTTGTTCCAATGTACTGATTTCACAAGAAAGAAAAAAAAAACAACAAAAACAATCCTTATCTTTTCTCTAGAGAGTCATCTAGGACTTAAGCTCGTCTTTTTATGTACTATCTCCAGTATGAGATTTATATGCTGTAAAATCCCACTGCCTCTGCAGAAGCTCTCTGCCTTAGCCCTAAGACTAACTCAATCATAATCTTAAATCAACCCTAATTCAACCCTAGCCTTAAACCAACCCTAACTCTATACCTAAACTATCTCTAAGCCTAATCATAACCCCAACCCTAACTCCATGTCATATGCTCTTCTTTTGTATAAATGGAGATAATTGGTTCCATTATATGTGTATGAATAACTCTCATGCTGATGAGGAAAGAATGAATATTGATTCTTTACTACCTATCAATAAAAGTAGTTTATTTCGGTCCCTGATGTGTGAAGATGCCACTTCTTCCTTGATGTTTTTCCAGGAAGAAACTCTCTTCTAAAGAGAAGATTTTTACCTAGAGCTAAAATAGATGTGTGGTACTTCTTTTCCTTCTCGTTTGCTTGATAGATTGAAAGTGAAACATTTTGCTGATTTGCTGTGGGAATAAATATGCTTTAAATTTTGCCATAAACTGTGGAGCTGAAAAAAAGTATTTAAATTTATAGTCTGTCAAAGGCAGGTATTCAGGTCATCGCCTAACAATCATGTAACAGTTCTTACAAATAGTCTCTAAGGCAGTTGGCATGCAACAATGATAAACAGCTGTAATCAACTTGACTATGAAATAACTTTAAAATATTCCAGTGCATAAGAAAGCATAAGGTTACTTGTTTGGCAAGACTGTATGAGTAATTAGTGACATCATTTTGAATTTCTTCTTGATTGTCCTACCAAGTAAAGAAGAATTTGTTGTTGTTGTTGTTGTTGTTTTCCTCAATGTATATATTGTTTTAAAAATAAATACCTTTTAACTTTATATTTTAATGTCTAACAGAATATCTCTGTACTTGTGAATTATCAGCCCTTACCGCAAAGGAAGCAAATATGACTTTCAGTCTTCAATCAACATTCTCTGTTTCTTTCCAAATCACAGAATCATAGAACAGCTTAAGTTGGAAGGGACCCCAAAGATCATCACGTTCCATTCTCCCTGCCACATGCAGGGCCACCAATCTCCAGAACTGGAAGTAGACCAAGTTGTTCAGAGCTCCATTCAACCTTGTTTTGAACACCTCCAGGGATGGGGCATCCACAGCCTCTCTGGGCAGCCTGTTCCAGCAAATCACCACCCTCTCGGTGAAGAACTTCCCCCTGACATCCAATCCAAACCTTCACTCCGAGAGCTTAAAACCATCGTCCCTTGTCCTATCACTGTCTATCCTTGTAAAAGGTGATTCCCCTCCTTTTTTATAATCCCCTTTTAAATATTGTAAGGCTGCAAAGAGGTCTCTCGCAGTCTTCTTGTATTGCCAAAATTGCACTGGATTCAAAGGAATACTCCTTTGTGAGACCTTGCTTGTTAAATTCGAGTTGCACTTAACGTTTAACTCATGTTTTCAATTTTCAGCTTTGTATTTTCTGTATCACCATTTCATCAGTACAACAATGCAGACTGACTTTGAGAAAAAGTATGTTACTCATCCAACCAATGTCCCTATAATTATCACTATGTAGCACAATATAAAAATAGATATTAAAAAAAAAACAGCACTGAACCCACCTCTCCTAAGGTTTCTAGTTCCTTTTTATCTTTTTTTGCATGTCCAGCAAGCATCTTCATTTGAATCATTCCTGTAATAGCAATAATTGGCACAATGGCTAAAAGCAGAAGGGTCAACTGCCAGCCATAGATCAATGACAAAACAATCCCAGTCCCAAGATTAGCTATGTTTTGGGCAACTAATGCCAGTCTGGAACCTGTAGCCTGAAAAAGAACAAAATCATTATTGCAATGGCTTTATTTTGAAACTATACAAAATATTTGTCAATTAGGTAGTTGTGATTTATTTAACAGAAGACATCTGAAAATCCTTGTTTTTAAATAGTTTGCAAACTTGAATGATTTATCTTAACTGTTTGAAAACTATTTAAGTACCTTTTGTACATGGAGTCTGAAATGATAATTTTTAAAACTTTTAAACTTTCAACTTGAAAAACACACAGTGATGCAACGACAACAATCCTCATTTAGAGACGTATTTTTATGCATTTTGTTGAGCTGGGCATTTAGTATGGAAATGTGATGCTGTTTAGACATCTAAACAAGTTGGACAAATAAATAAATGAATGCGTTGGATGGCTCATTTATACTGGTGTTAACAGGATTGAACACTAGTATGAACTAAATCTTTACCACATTATCATACTGCAAAGATATCTATCCATCCACCTTAACTACTGCTATGATATTAAATTTTTGTGTGACACCAAACATAGAATCATCGGATTCTTAGAGTGGGAAGGGACCTCTGAGTGCCATCCAATCCAACTCTCCTGCAATGAACATGAACACCACAGCTAGATGGTTGCCCAAAATATCCTGAACAATTTAAAAAAAATAAGAGTTTCCAGAGAATAGTGAGCAGGATTTCTACCACTTGTATCCCCTCTGTAACTTACTCCATGCTAAATGAGGTCTGAAAAACGCCAGTGCATGTTACTTACTCCTTTCACTTGTGAGGCATCATTAGCAAGTCTTGTAATTAATTCTCCAGTGCTATTTTTAGGCTCATCAAACCAGCTGATCTCCTATGATATGAAATACACTTATTATGATCTCAAAAAATTAAGTCTCTACATACCTAATTAGGCGACTTAAGATAACTTAATCACTTTGGCTTATGACTGGATGACACATGATTCTAGTACTTTCCGTGCAGCTATAAATTCAGTAGACCTAAAGGCTCAGTAAAGTCATAGGATCTCCAAACTCAAAGCTATGCTAACAATATGTATATGCTTTTTGTAAGAACATAAACATTACCACATTATTTCATAATAAACACAGTTTTACAAGATATCTTTGTTCGAATTTAACGTATTTTTTTTTATGATCAGATGTTCACTAAAGAGGAATACCAAGGAAATTGCCATTTGAAGGAAAAATATTTGGATGTGTAACAGACATCTGCAAAGACTACTAACAAAAAACGTATTTTTTCCTGTTACATAGCCTGAAGGGCTGCAGCCTGTGGGAAGCACATGCAGGATCAGTTTGGGAAGGGCAGCACTGCATGGGAGTAACCCCATGTGGAAAAGGGGCAGAGGGTGACCCTGAGGGAGTGGCAGAGATGAAGCACTAGACTGACCACAGGCCCATTTCCCTGCACTGCCTGGAAGCAGGAGATAGAAAAGAGTGGATGGAGAGAAGGGAATTTCAGTTTGTGTTTAGTTTCTCAGTGCTCTGTTCTGTTAGTAATAGGCAATAAATTACATTAATCTCCTTATAAAATGGTTTGAATCATAGAATGGTTTGGCTAGGAAGGGACCTTTAAGATCATCTAGTTCCAACCCCTCCTACAGGCGGGGACACTTCACTCTAGACCAGGTTGCTCACAGCCAGCCTGGCCGTGAGTGCTTCCACGGTGGGGGCACCCACAGCCTTGCTGGGCAACCTGTTCCAGTATCCTTTCATAGAACCATCATCACAGAATCTTATGCCAAGTCTGTTTTCCCTATGACAGTAACTAATGAGGCTTTCCTGTCCTTATCTCAATCCATGAGCTTTTATCATTGTATTTTCTCTCCCTGTCTTTTTGGGGAAGAGGAGTGAGAGAGCCATGTGGTGCCAAACTGCCCATCAGCACAAAGCCACACACCTTGCCACCACACTGACTGCTTAGCTACTAGAGACTACTGTGTTTGAATTTCAGCCTGGTTATCTTAAAGAGTTTCATTCTGCTACTGAATCTATTTCCACTGACAGCAGAGACCTCTTTCTGCCTCTGCCCACTGCTTTGACCATCAGTGGCTCTTTGACTGCTGTGCAGGAGAAGCTACCAGTGCAGTGAGTGCAGCTAGTGAGATATCCAGGTCTTATGGCCTTCAGTAGTATTATTTGTGATCCTGCCTGGTAGCAGATCTGAAGGCAGATCTGAATTTCAAATTTGGCCTCTTAAAGTACATCCTACTTTCTCTGGGCCTCAATCTAAGGTGGCTTTGATTATATTAAATATGCTAAATAAACAGTACCATCAAATTGAGCTTTCTTACACTGGTTTTAAATGGCCTTCCCTAGTCAGTCACATCAATTAAATATTTTAAAAATATCTATTTAGACCTGTTATGAAATATTTTAAAAATATCTATTTAGACCTGTTATGAAGATAAAATCCAGTTTCTAAACTGAATTTTAAAAAAATCATTGTGAAATCTTTATAGATATGATCTCTGCATGTATACTTAGATACCCAGTTTTGGCATGAAAACATACAAGCTTTTCTAAAGCTTTAGAAAGCTGAATATATCATGCCAAGTAATGTACATTTACCTGTCTCAGAATTGCTCTAAATGCCATGGATCGAAGCCTCATTGTGAGGATTTCTCCAGCTTTACCAAATGTGAAACCCTGCATGAGAGAAAGAGTCTTTTAAAAAAAATTACCTAATTACAGTTTCTGTCTTTTTCAGGCAGTAAATCAATTACCTGCATACAGTATGAAGAAGAATATCACTACATAAAATATATTCTAATTACAACTGAGGTAATCAAAGAATTTTAGAGCTAAATTTGGAACCTGAAAGGGTACGGAATATAATTACACTTTTCTTTTAAGAAACAAGTATGTATCACATAACAGTTTTCAAGCCCCAGGAAGCAATGATTTAATTGCTGGAATACTTAATTGCACCTGATCTCAAACCAAAGCTAGTCACAGGCTCGGTGGTATAAGCAGTAAACCCCTACGGTTATTTTAGGCAATGCACAAATACCAGGGATTTTGCTGCTCTCTTAAGAGCTTACAGTAAAAAAGTGTAGTGCTACTGGGAGCATTATTTTCTAGGGGAGAGCTCTGAGCCTGCAGAGACACTCACTGACCTCAGCACAATTCGATATGCAAGGAGTAGTGTTGGTAAATCTGTCCATTCTGGGCCAGGGCCATGCAGGATCAGACCACATAGGAGTGAGATGGGAGACATGGGAAGACACGTTTTAGTGTGGAAATAACCCTAACAGCTACTCCAACAATTCTTTTTTCTTTTTCCAGTGGAACACAGAAGTAGGAATTTTGAGTTTGGTTCTGCTTGAGGGGAGGAGAGGTGCCTCAAGGGCATTGGGGTAGAAAGTGGAAAGATTGTGTTCAGACTTGTACAGATCTTAAAGCAAGATTGACACAAGTAGTTGAGCAACAGCTAAAGGGATTTGTGCATGTAAATTGAGATATCCATCAATTCACATGACAGATGACTTGATTTATCTATGGACATGGCAGTTTTCCCACAACACATGTAGTTCCAGGCACTGGTAAGCACACATACCCATGGAAAAATGGTGTGCAAATGTGAATTTAGAGTCTGTTTCAGAAAATACAGTCAAAAGGATTTGATCCTGTACAATGGAAGGATGAACTTCTAAACAGTGAACATGAAATATTATTTAACTTTCATGGTACAGAGCTGTAAATAATCTTACACTAAATATATGGTGTGTTTTTTTCCAGAGACTTTTGGTGCAAGTTTTCTCAGAAATGGAAGGGGCTGAGTGCAGTTCACGTGGGTACACGTTGGGCACAACCAGCACAGATGCTTACAGCACTGCTGCACAGAATGCAGGGCAGATGATGAAGTATACATTTACCCAAGACAGAAATGCTACCCTACATCTGATCTGGGCCTGTGCTGCCAAATTGCTACCTGTATTACTTTCTGTATTATTCTGTCTATTTTTCTCCAAAGGCTGTGCTAGAGGTAGGCCTCACAGCCAAAATTTCCTTCGCTGGGGAGACAGAGATCAGGCTACACCACAGAATACATTTCAAACCTCTTACAACCTTTTGAACACCTGATAGTCAAAGATCATCAACACTTTTCTCATGTACTGCTCAATACCAAGGCACAGAGAGCTTAACTCACAATTGTGATACAGTGTATGAAATATTGTGAGCACTTATGGTATCAAAAACTTACCTGAAGAAAAGATGTGACAAAAGAAATGAGTCCAAAACCTAAAAAGAGTAATGCGTATGTGCTATTTGTCTCTCTCATAGCAGCCTTTCCTTTTTCCACAAACATCTATAGGAGAAAATTTTGAAAATTAAATTTCATTAAGTTCACACACAATAGTTTCCCTTGTTGTTTTCACATACCTGCTGTATTCTTAACAGAGACTTAAAGGAAAAACAAGTCTATTTATTGATGAGTTAAGATGTTTTTCCTTTGAAGATCATGAATCTGAAGTGATTATACATGTTCTTGTGAATGAAAGCTTCATTTGTATTTTTGACAAGATAAATCAGTAACATGTCAGTGAACAAACCCACATCTGTAAATTATTATTGGAATTTACACCTGCAAAAAAGCTGAGGCATGTCTTAAGACGTTAAAAGAGCATTTCTCTGTGATCAGTGGCTGAAGATTACTACGTATTAGTGACTAATTAGTGAGAGAGAAGAATGATTTTTACAAAACCATTATTTTTTCTATATAGATAAAGAGATTTCTATTGTTTGCTTTATATTTGATAAAAGAATTAAAAAAAAGATAGAAATATGCATTGTATGGACAGTTTTCTTGATCAGAGAAATAGTTTTCCATTTACAGCTTCCATGTGCTTATTTATCTCACCAGTGAGTAAATGAATATTAAAGCTGTAGTATGCTCAAACTATTCTTATACCTTTATATATGATAAAATATTCACAGTTTGTGATGCAAGATCATACAGTTTTGTTTTACCATGTTTGCAGAGCAATAAAGATAATACCCCCAGGTTTGGATAAAACAAATAGGTTTTATAAAATTGAGGTAATGAGGATGAAGCAGTTTCAGAGAGATCACAGGAGAACCTCTCCTTCACCAAAGTTTTGTGAGCTGATCTGCTCAAAGACAACAGAGATGTCTCATTGTTCTGTGAGACTCTGAGCAGAAATTCAGCATTCTCATAGCATGGACCTTCAGCCACTCTTCACCTTTTCAGGCAAATTGAAAAAATGCAGCATTTAATTCGATTGTGCTAAACCAATTCAAGGTTTATAAAAACAATAAACAACAATGAAAGATACAGCAGATAAAGTTCTTCTTGATTTTATACTTACCCCTATAACATCTGAAATCATGACTGAAAATATAGGTTGTAAGGCCCCATTGATAATTGCACATAAAGTTCCAACAACAAAGTAAGGCCATTCAGTTTTATTCAGTTTCATAATTTTAAAAAATGAAGATGAAGGTATATTTTTATCCTAGAATAAAAAGATTCCATCAGAATAAATATAATACATCAACGGAGAGAAATGAGAGTTGTGTGTAATACTTCTGATCTGCTCTCTATCTCATATTCTATGTAGGGAAAATCCAAACTGTTCATCTTTAAAAATACTTTAACTACAGAAATTCTGTTACTCAGTAACCAACATTAATAACATAAAAAGTAGAAAAAGATCAATGAATGAATATGTTCTCTCAAAGGCTTAGTCACAAGCTCCACCTACCCTTTTTGAGACCATCCTGACAAAGAAATTGTGGGAATTTAGACCACTTTTTCCATTTGATGGTATTGAATGTTGTATAAATTGCTCCTTACTGCTGAAAATAATGTCTTGTTTTAGCTCATTCGTTAAAATGATAACTGTACCTTCATTGTCAATAACTATTTGTTAATGCATATTCATTTTAGACAAAAATAATAAGTATTCTCTATTTTTTTATGACCGATTCCCCGTTTCTGGTTTGGTTCCACAAGTAAATAAATTAACTTGACAGTTAAGCTATTCCCACACTAAAGTAAATTTGTTTCATAATATTGTTCAATTAAACTGTTTTAGTATCACAATAGAATAGATTTTAGTTTCAGGGGAAAAGAGTGTTTCCATAGAACCCTTCCTCCATGATTCTGTCATTTCATCCGTCCTTAGCCGGATAGGCAGGTTGGAGGTTGTGGTTTTTAAAAGATTTTGTTAAAAGTCACTCCCTGTTGAGTGGGATCATGCTTCTTTCTTGTCCCATTAGTTATGGAAAACATATGCAGGTAAGAATACATGGACACTCACAAGCTGATCAGCTTTTTCATCAAGTTCATCATTCTGTATTCTGAACCTTTTTATGCTTTTCCGAGTGGACTTTCTTTTCTGTCCAGTCAGTACTGATCCATTCAGTGCCTCTTCTGAGACACTTGATGTATTATCATCTTCTTCCTGTAACTGACCTTCAGTTTCTGATGTCTGAAATGAAACACAGTATGACGCTAAAAATCATTTATGGCCATATTGTCCTGTACATTCAAATGTTGATCAGTTCTAAATAAAAACAACAATTTTCTGTTAAATAAATGGAAGATTAGTAAGAACTGTGCAATTTTACAAAACCACAAGCAAATATTGAAGTTTTATCAAGTCCTCTCTATACTCAGTGGAAAAAACGTCATTGTGCTAACACTTAAAAGGAAAAAAAAAATTAGCCAGAATATTTTTCTCATTTGTTATCATGTTAAACTGTTCTGACAACACACAGCTGGTGCACTCCCTAGTACTTAAATAAACTGGGGGACGAACTCCTTGAGAGCAGCCCTGCGGAGAAGGACTTGGGGGTCCTGGTGGAAGAGAAACTGGACATGAGCCAGCAGTGTGTACTTGCAGCCTGGAAGACCAACTGTGTTCTGGGCTGCATTAAAAAAGGGGTGGCCAGCAGGGAGAGGGAGGTGGTTGTTCCCCTCTACTTGGCTCTTGTGAGGCCTCATCTGCAGTACTGCGTCCAGGCCTGGGGCTCCCAGTACAGGAAGGACATGGAGCTCTTGGAGCAGGTCCAGAGGAGGACCACTAAGATAATCAGAGGGCTGGGGCACCTCTTTTATGAAGAGGTTGAAGGAACTGGGCTTGCTTAGCTTGGAGAAGAGAAGGTCCAGGGAGACCTCATTGTGGCCTTCCAATACTTGAAGAGAGCATAAAAACAGGAGGGGGAACAAATGTTTACATGGGTTGATAGTGATAGGACAAAGGGGAATGGTTTTAAGCTGAGACAGGGAGGTTTAGGTTAGATCTTAGGAGGAAGTTTTTCACACAGAGGGTGGTGACACACTGGAACAGGTTGCCCAAGGAGGCTGTGGATGCCCCATCCCTGGAGGCATTCAAGGCCAGGCTGGATGTGGCTCTGGGCAGCCTGGTCTGCTGGTTGGTGACCCTGCACATAGCAGGGGTGTTGAACTAGATGATCATTGTGGTCCTTTTCAACCCAGGCTATTCTATAATTCTATGATTCATAAGGTCCATAAGAGAAGTCTTCAGCATGATGAAAGAGACATGAAGACTACAAGCTATTTCAAAGTTAAAACCTTGTAGAAACAGATGTTCAGAAGACAGTTTGAAAGAGAAAAAAATATTCTAGATAGACTTGTCTGAATGACAAAACTGCAGGAGCCTGTGTCAATATAATTCTGGTGATTTGGAAAAGTACTTGTGTAAGAGTTTGCATTATCACAATGAGGGTGATGAAGCACTGGAGCAGTGACTTGCAGAGGGTGTGGAGTCTCCATCCTTGGAGGCATTCCAAATCCAACAGAACATGGCCCTGGCAACCTTGGACCTCAGATTCTTCCCTGTGTTGGACTAGAAGGAGTTGGGCTAGAGAAGATACCAAGATCCATTAACCTGAGTTATTTGATGATTCTATAGGTTGGAAAAGGAATCTGAGAAGTTATCAGTTCCAGAACTTTGTTTTTGTTAGCACAATCTCCATTTTGATTTTCTCACATACTTTGCTTTTAATGTCATACTTCTTAAAAACTTTTCTGTTCATAATTACTGTAATTCAGAGCTTTGAATCAATCTTGCACATTTTACCTTTATTTCTTTTTCTTCTTATGAAGTTCAGTACTCCTCAGGAAAGGTTTTTTCCCTAGAGTTTTTCTACTGAGAAAACAATGCAATGTTGGAGGTACAATTCAGCACCACACAACATAATGAAAGTTACGGAAAAAAAATAATGAAAAAGCTACCTGCATATTAATAAGTTTGTAGTAAACTCCCTTCTGTTCCATCAGTTCATCATGAGTCCCCTGTTCTGTGATGACACCGTTTTCAAATGCAGCTATAAGATCTGCGTTTCGAACTGTTGACAAACGATGAGCGATAACAAGAATAGTGCGGCCCTTCCTGATCTGCAGACATTATAACGATGGCTCCACATTAGCATTGTCAGGTACATTTAATATTTCCTCAATTCATATTAGGGTTAAACAAAATATTTTAACTGAAAAGAATTTGCCATGGAAATGGTGTTCTAATTAAGATCAGAATTTTCAATTAAGAAATATTGAATTTCAGACTACCTCTCAGTTCTGAGGTAATCAAAAACAAAAAGGTAACAAATAAAATATTGCAAATATTTTATTTTAAATTGCAAAAAAAAAAAAAATTATATAAAATAAAAAAAATTGCAAAAATTTAATATAAAATACTGCAATATTTAATACAAAAACATATTTAATATGAATTAAAGTACTCTGGTTTTCCCTGCTGGACTATTACTTTTTAATCCTCTAAACATTAATATCAAAAGGGTTTTTTTTATTTGCTTGTTTTTTAATTGCTCATTCAGTATTATTCCAGGTTAGGTATCCAATTTTACTGAAAAAAAAAAAAAAAAAAAAAAAAAAGACAACCACTTAGTATGTTAGTAACAATTATATTTCAGAGCATTTCACACGTATTACAAATTTGTCACTTACAAAGTAATTTTAATTGCTCTTGGAACTGGTTGCCCAGAGAGGTGGTGGATGCCCCATCCCTGGACACAGTCGAGGTCAGGCTAGACAGGGCTCTGATCTAGCTGTAGGAGACCCTGCTCAATGCAGAGGAGTTGGACTAGATGACCTTTAAGGGTCCCTTTAACACAAACAATTCTGTGATTCTGTAAATTACACATTTGCTTTTTTGGAAATGCTAATCTGTCATTGTGCTTAAAATCATACTTCTATTACCATTCATTAATAATGAAAATAAATCCCATAAATATCTAGTTTGACATGGCAAAGATAGTTTTCCAGCACATTTTGACAGTGCGCTCTGAAATAAATTGGTATTAGTATCAGATAACTCAGCGAGTTAATCCAACCTTTATATAGTTCAGTGAAAACTGTTACGAATGGAATATTCTTGACAGAATTTCAACCTAAATCTGACATCTTGATAGTGTTACATGATTTAAGAACTGGAAATTACACCCATTTAAACCATCCTATAACAAATGGTATGCCTTTTCTTGGTAGTCTGAAGGCTTTGTTTCTTAAAAGGGTAAGAATCACATCAAAATGTAGAAGAAAATCAAGCTATTGACCTTAATCATTAAAAGCAGAATGCTCCATCCATGTAAATGGTAAATGAAGATGCAGTAGAGGCTGGGTAGAGTCTGTAGGGAAAAGTAGTCTATGTAGTAGTCTGATGTAAACCTTTTATAGAGGTATGTGTTCAGCACAGAAAGAGAGAAAAAAAGTAGGTAACAGGAGGACAAGTACATACTGGGCACACAACAGCTTGGCTTCCTCTTGCTTAACATTAGCAATTTCAGAGCTAGTCTAGTCGGAGCAAGCTTTTCCGGTATGTTCTGCCAGACACATCAACAGGGAGCGTCATCTCATCATATGACATTTTAAAGATAGGTTGGTGAGGTTAGAGGCTATGTAACTTGTTTAAACTAGCTGTATAAGTCTTACATTGCAGCAATCAGTTGGGATCCCATCAAATGTGTCTTAATCAGCAGTTCTCTGCCCTACTGTCCCTGGGATTCACTTTATAGAGCATGGTTTGGGGGAAAGATCGCTGAGCATGCCACATAGCTTCACAGAGCAGTGTGAATTATCAGATACTAGGACCAGTAGAAGAGCCTCAGTCACTGCAGCTAATGGCAGTTTGGTGTTCAAGCAGAAATTATCAGACTAAAAGATTTTTATAGATGAGAACTTGGATTCTGTTTTCTGATTCTCCCAGTCACGACCATGTAAAGCGAGGTACTGCTACAGAGGCAAAAGAGTATATGGAGAGGAAATACTTTCTGAAGATACTGCCCACAGATAAACTGTAGTCAGTACTGGAAATATTTATGCAATGTTGATAACTTGTGTTTGCTCAAAGGATGATAAGCAGAGATGTATAATGAGAGAGAAATGGAGTTTAAAAAAAAAAAGTGATTGATATGTGATTAAATCAGCTTGAGGAATAGGTGGAACTACTTTGTAAACAGTTCACATGATTGTTTAGAACAGACAAGGATTGGCTATTTTTTTCAGTTCTCTAGGTATTTTAAAAGGTATGTTTAGACAGCCGTCAACAAAAACTACCACTCTTGAAAACCCAACTAACCAATTACTTTGCTATTAATAAGAACACAGCCCTTACGGATTCCTGGTTGGGAATACTAGTCTGCATTGAGCACTTCCAATGACTGAAGTTTTTTGGGGGAAAGCCTGCTGAAGTTCAGTCTGGCTCTTAACATCATTGACTTAATTCCATGGGCACATACAAAGTGCTTCCAATTCTTTGAATGACCAGATAATACTTGCAAGTTCAGGTTTATTTTAAACTTTTTAGGAATTACAATTTCTTGCAGCTCTTTAAATAAAAAAGCAATACTGACCTTGTCCAGCGCTGCCTGCACAACGGATTCACTCTCAGTATCCAAAGCTGATGTTGCCTCATCAAGCAGAAGAATTTTAGGATTGCGAACCAGAGCACGGGCAATTGCTATTCGCTGCTTCTGCCCTCCACTCATCTGTGCCCCTCTTTCTCCAACCACAGTTTCAAACTTCTGCAAGACAACCACGCACATTTCCACCAACACTCAGCGGCACGGTCCTTTCACAAGGAAAGGCAGCGTACAGAAAAGGCACATCAGTGTTAGTAGCCCCAGCAGCATCTTCTCCTTCCTCTAAAATACGGCATGTTAAGCACACGCTTAAATATACCTTCCTGTTTGTGTCCCTAGAACTCCCACAGTTTCCTAAATGCTCGTCCAGCCATCGTTTAATAATTTAAAATTTACATTATTCTCAAAAGTCGTGAGGAAGCTCTGCACAGCTCTGCATATTCACAGCTCCGGGAATAGGCTCCTCTGTTCAGGAGATGCCCTTCTGAGAAACTCTTTGCTAAGTGAGTAGGATGAAAAGCAATTGTTTCAGCAGGACAGCTGGCTTGCTTACCTTGGGGAGCTTCATGATGAAATCATAAGCATTAGCTTCCTTGGTAGCTTTTTCAATTTCTTCCATGGTGACATCCTCACGGCCATAACGAATATTTTCTGCAATAGTTGTAGCAAACAGCACGGGCTCCTGGTTCACCACACCAATAATCTCCCGCAGATATCTTACGTTCAGACTCTTAAGATCCTGCCCGTCGATGGTAATCTAAAGCAGGGGAAGCAGACAAACACCATTTACTAGGTGTTTTTGTCAAGAACTCTCCCCAGCCCAAAGCCCATCTCTTTTAGGGGAGACTGGACCATGTCCTTTGAACAAGGGCAGCAACACCAGAAGCTGACTTCTGCAGCTGTGCCGTTAGAACACAGAGCAGTCTGCTCTCTTGAAGAGTCTTACCGTGCCTTCCTTGGGGTCGTAAAATCTCTGGATGAGCTGAACAGTTGTACTTTTTCCACAGCCACTGCTACCAACCAGGGCCACTGTCTGGCCACATTTAATCTTGAGATTCAAGCCTTTCAGTATCTGTGCATGTAAGAAAGGTTGCCAGAAGCAAAACAAGATGTAAAAACATCAGTATAAATTTGCAGAAACTTTAAAGACTCCAGTGAAACATCCTTCACATTTACAGAACTGAGCAGAAACATCCCTGTATTCTTCATTTTGAATCAGGCTCTATTCCCCTGATACATTATTAAACATATTTTTTGTGATTTTTCTCTCATTGTGGCATGTTTCTGTTCTATCAGTGACTATAATGCTGATACAGTTCTTATATGTCTGCAGTCATAACACTTGCCGTAATGTGGTGATTGCCTAGGTTTGAACAGGCTCACTCAACATTTAAAAATGGCAGCAGCCTCCCCCAGTAGAATTCTTAACTTTCCTACTATCAAGATATTAGAGCTAGCATTGGAGATGTTGAATTGTTTTGTAAAAGATCTGTGAAGTAGATAATGCCATGGAGTTAGAATGCTGATTATCTGGGAAATTTTGTAGGAGAGCTCTAGCAAGGAAAGGGAAAAACTGCATGTGAAACTGTGAAGGGAGGGACTTTGTAGTTTCACTGCAGATTGTGAAGATATTGTTCCTTATGCTGCTAACTTCAAAATGCAGTATTTCACATGTGTTATAAAAGTGAAGGCCTGCTTTCCATGCAGATGTACTTTCTCCCCCCTTCACTACTCAGCCTCAGGGAGGTGATGAAGATGCCAACAGTCACAAAGAAAGAACTTTTCTCTCCCACTTACACTGCTGTTGGCCTATAGGAGCTTTTCTCTGTAGCTTTCTCTAAAAGAAGATTCTCTAAAAGAAGAAAGGTTTGTAAACTTCTGTGCAATGAGACAAAAGGAGACATTTTCTTGGATATTTCTGTTTCAGTTGTGAATGAAAAACAAGGATTTGTTTTTGTATATTTGCATTAAACTTCACATTATTTCATTACTAGTAACCCAGAAGGAAGCCAGTGTGAGGAAGTTCTAAACTTAAAAGGGAGCACTGATATTCCATGTAACACACTTGCCAAGATTCTTCCTGGCACATTACAGCAAAGCAAGCACTCTTCTATTTCAGTAATACTAAAATTTCTGAAAAGTTTCCATTTTGGTCAAGAATATTTTGAATTTTGAGATTCTAGTGACATGAAAATGAGTAAGTATGAATGGAGACAACCTCTTTTAAACCCTCAAGATATCTGAGAAATCAGTCTTTGTTTTAAAAGTTTTTACATGGAAATAAACTCATTACAGAGTGGGACATTTACAGGGAAGCTTGCTCTGGGAGTAAGATAAAAGTTAAGAGCCTGGTGCAAAACCTGAAGATGCAAATGGAAACACCTCAGCAATTTCAGCTTTGGGCCAAATGCTGTTCTCCACTGAAGTGAGAAGGATAAATTCTCTTCATGATATTTACTTGCATATAAGCTCGCAAGAAAAAAAGCGAATGTAAATTCTTTCTTACTAGAGGCAATTATCTTAAAGGAAATCTGTATAAATTCCATGCATTATACCTTAATATCTGGCCTAGCAGGATAACTGAAGTAAACATTTTGGAATTCCAAATTCCCCTTAATATTGTCCGGTTTATAGCCAGCATTGGACGAACTGTCAATTTGAGGTTCCTGTGCAGATAACACAGCAAGAGAAGAAAAAAAAGAAAGGAAAACACACATTTGATTCCTAACAACATTTTAGCATGATGCAAGGCTGTGGAATCTCTGAAGTTAATGTTACCATACATAAAGGCATACACAGAAAGCCTCACTGCAAACAGCAGACTGAAAATAACCACTTAATCAACTCATGAAGTTACCAGTCCAGGTGAATCTGCCAGTGACTTGGCAAATTACTTGTAAAATAGCACTGCTGTCAGTGTGGTTTGTTTGTACCAAAATGTCTGCAGTCCTTGCCGGCCACTCCAGTATGGACCAGAAGCCCTATAAATAACTGTTGTAGTTCAAAGTAATTATTTTCAGTCATGGGGCTCTTGTCACTGTTATCTCAGGTAGTTAATCGAGCATGAGTTAGCATGAATATAATTACTATTTCTTCTTTGAGTTTCTGAACCACCAAGTAAAACAGTAACAGGTAATAGTTCTCATCTTGCTCATTTACAAGCTCACATCCAAGTATTTAGACCCTTGTCCCACATACATAACTCTGTTAGGTAGAATTTTTAAATGTTATGACATTGTATGCACAGTTCTTTGGACTTGCTAATTTTTTATTCAAAAGCGAAGTCTGATGTTCGATCATTTTCAAATGGCAGTGTCATCCATGGCAAGGATACTTACATTGTCTATAATACTAAATATTGCATAGGCAGCTCCTCTTGCATTGGCAAATGCTTCCATACTTGGTGCAGCCTGTCCAACACTAAAAGCTCCAACTAATATAGAAAAAAAGACCTAAAAATAAAAATAAAAGCAAAAAAAATAGACTTAATACACTATGCATCTGGTATTCATAGCTCTATTTAGACAGCTTAATTTATCTGAGAAGCTCTCTTCCAGCTGCTTTCTGCAGGATGTTAGTGCTCCTCAAAGTACCTGGTACCTGACTGTGATGGAGCTGCTGAAATAACACAGATGTAAACTTGTTAGCAAACAGGCTGTGACAGAGGTTAGAACTTTAGCCATATTGTTGCATTCCAGCCTTTCCAAAAAAGGTCCACTCTGGTGTCAGTGAAGATAATGACTTCAGGTCAGTGAGCTGCAACTGAGCATTGAATTAGTTACAAAAGAAACAGTACTTGAAGCCTGCCTGGTCTTTCTCTCATGCTTGCCACCTCCTGGCACGGTCCTAGACTCCTGAATGTCAAACCTCAGTCCCCTAGCAAAGATCCGGTGAATACAAAAACAACAACTACTTGTTATTGATCCAGGCTGGCTTTTAACAAGGCACTTTGTGGTGAGTGATTTTTATGTTGCTATCAACTTGGGGAAATATATCCATTACATGTAGAGCTGTATTTTTATCCATTTTGTTAGCAGGGCTGAGAAACTGAAAAATGCAGTTTGGATAGCTAACATCAACCAGACTCAAAATTTAAGCACTTTTACACAGGATCAGCTCAGTGCTTTTCATAAACACTGTCCAGCTACCGGTAAATACTTACTGTAAAGACTTTTCCAATTGTATAGTCATCTGAGAGTACCAAGATGGTTCCATACCAGAAGGCCAGTGCATAGGATCCATATATCAAAAAGAAAGAAATACCCATGGAAATATTGGCTGAAATAGCTTTCTGGATACCAATACGTTTGGCATCTTCCAAATTTTTTTGATATCTGAAAGATAAAGCAGGAAAAAAGCAGAACATGCATGGAATTACTCTTCTTTCTTTCATTGTGTATACTCATAAAATCCCCAAAGTATACATCAAAGCTAAATGAAGTATTTTAGCAAACAGAAATCGAATCCTGAAAAGATCATGTTGTGAGTAGAGGAAAACGCACTGACTGCCCTTCACGCTATGGCAGATTGAGCTGATCAGCTAAAGCTGGACCAAGTCCTGGATGAGTGAAAATGGCTGGTAAGATGCTGAACAGTTGTCAACTTGTAAATTTGGAGTTTTCCAAATGCCAGAGAACATTTTTGATTTTACAAGGAAAATTGTTGTGTAAGCGTTGAAATATATCATAAAGAAAAGAGAGCTGGTGATATGAAGAAAATGGGATAATTTTCTGACAGTATCACTTTGGAGAATGTAAAGGAGATTATTGGGTTGGTGGTTGGATTTTTAAATGGACAGAGGGAATATACACAGTTTCACGTGTTTAACTGTGAAAGACTAACGTAAATACAGACAAAAGAATCAAATGGTAGCAGTAGCTGCATGACCCATATGCTCTTGGAGGTGATAGCTGGCAAGTCCATTTTAGAAATAATCACTGAAAAAATAAAAGGTGTTCTAATTTTTTATTTAGTTCAAGCTTATTCACTTTTTTTTTTTTTTTTTTTTTTCATTTTGTTCTAATTAGTAAGCAAATATCTGCAAAGATAAAGCTGGCTATAGATGAAAATGAAGAATTCCTGGTTGAATCAGTTACAATAATTACAACTGAACACACACACAAAATTGTCTGCAACAAAGGTTTTTCATCTCATGAGTCCTGGAAATTTAAAAGTATTGAGATTATAATTGCACAAGCAATAGACTCAAAATTGTAGTTCAGTCCCAACCTTCAGTAGAAACAAACACACAAACAAATCTACAAAATGCGAATGATGCCAAAAGCAGGATGACAGTGTGAGTCAGTGTGTTTCCATTATCACACTTGACCTTAAGGTGAAAACGGTAAGAAAGAAATGATGAAGAGGGAGTCTTGAGTCCAGAGTAATGAAAATACTGGCAAACCTAACAATGGCCCAGTTGTGAAGACTTCTCATTATGTTCAAATTGTGGATAAAGCCACAGGATTGAAGTACTGTTAGACAAATAGTGACCTGAGAAATTACAGGCTTGTGTATGGGCAAAAAAGTATATATTAAGTGAGAAAAAAAATAACTGCCAGAAAAAAGAATAAAATCATAAATAAATGAAAAAGAAATAAAATTACAAAAAAATGGAATTTGTCATAGGCTTTGATAGTGAAGAGTTAACCCAATTGCTTTTCTTTAAGACTGTCTTTCCCAGAGAGGGAAGACACAGTAAAACGAATCCATTGGGGCTTCATTAATGCCATCTAATGCCAAGTTATTCTGGAGGCACTGGATAAATTATTCATTTAACAGTAGTTCTAAAACTGTGAAAGAATTGTAAGGTAAGGAATCGTTTGAAGGAAAACAGCAGTGTTCAGTGAGGAGATATTGTAGCCAAGGGAGTTAACAGCATGAACTCTTCTGTCAGACTTGGGATCTGTTGTTTCCATACTTTTTAATGACTTGGGCACGTAAGTAATGTTTATGATAAATGAAATTTCCTGTTGGTAGAAAAATGAGAGGGTGAGATCAATACAGATGATGAGTGAGAGGACAAAGGAATATCAGAATATCTTACAGAACTAGACACATGATGTTAGAAGAAAAGGTGACACATTTAAAGAATAGAGATGATCAGTGAAATGGAAAGCCTATATTGTGTGAGAAAATTAAAAGAAATTAATTCAGATGGGCTACTATAATGACACCTAAGAGTCTTTGTGATTTATTTCTACAAATAATACAGGAAAATAAAACTATGGGAAGCAACTACTAAAGCAAAAGTTCGGTGCTGGTACAGGAACAAACTAGTAGACAGGGGCTCTGTGGATGCTCTGATGGAAAGAGATGCCCAATCTTTGTTTAAGCAGTAGCATAGCCTCCCTGCAGCAACATAGCTAAGACTACTTGATTTCAGGGGGACCTCTTGTGCTTACTAGCAGGGGGAATAGATGGTGCAATTGTTTACTAAAGAAACAGACCCTGATCTCAGTAACTTGGGAGGTCCTTCCCACTTCTGGAAATACATACATCACATTCAGTGCCTCTCAGTATATTTTGTTTTCTTCTTGAATGCCACAGTTAATAGAAATGACCCTTTTTTCCCCAGCTGGTATGTTGTATATAAGATTTGCAGGACATGAAAAGGCCTACTCTCAGCTCTCTTAACAAGCTTTACAGAAGCATTAATGAAGACATACAGCACCATCAAGGTATTATTTTTTTTATTCCTCTTATTATTCTTCTCATTAGCAGCCATCATCCCAGGGATGAGATGAGTTTGAGATGTAGAATCTCAAGAACAAGATGGTCTGATTCGACAGAGCTAATTTCCAATTTATAAAGATCTATCTCACTGCCATAGTTTCAGAATGCTTTGCAGTAATTTAGCATTTCACCATCACAACCTCTAGTATAGTGTTACGCTGATGGAAATGAGGGATGGAAATGAAGGATGCATGGCAGAAAGTACTTTAAGGACAAGTAGGAAAAAGATGAGAGGTGTAAGGGTGTGAACTGGGTGAAATGCTGAGGTGAACTGGAAAACAAGGCATAGACACCCAAAGGGCTTCCTTTTTGCTGACCAGTGAGCAGTGATAGAAGAACAAAGGGGATAAGCAAGCCAGGGAAGGGATGGTGTATGTTTTCAGTGGATGACACAAATGTTACTGAACTTTGCATTTGAAAAACTTCTGCCAACTGTGACAGTCACGATGGTTATCTTTAGATAAAAGATCAAAAAGAAGGCAAGCACGATGTTCCATGGTACAATATAAATAAATACACCTGCATGTCTTTGGTTTGTGCCCTTGGTTTGTGACCTTTGCATTATACTTGCCTTTTCATGTCACATATCTGTCCTTTTTTGCTTACAACTCTCGCTATAAGTATATGAAGCCTGAATAGCATATATTTTTAGGGAAAGGGAGTCCATCTCTGCATTATCTTATGAGGTTCTTTAAAAATGATGAAAAAGAAAACAAAAATTTCAGCAGCAAAGACAAAACCTTTTTAGATACCATTATAAACCAGCCAAATAAAGGGAATTTTTTCTCACCTTTCAGTTTCTTTTCTCTGTCCTCCAAATGCTACCACAGTTCGAACTGCTGCCAGAACTTCCTCTGCCACAGCTCCTGCTTTTGCATATGCAGTTAGCTCTTTGTTAGTGAATGTGGAAATCATCTGTGTAGAAGTAAAAAAGAACTAACTCTCCTGCTCAAAGAAAAACAGAATGTGCTCAAACTTTGTTCTGACATCCACGGATACTTAATTGTTTTGTACTGAATTTCCTTTCTACTTTATTATATTTATATAGACTTTTAAAAGATTGCCCATTTTAAATTTTCATTGAAGCTCTTAAGGGCAAGGCTGCCCAGTGTCACAGCAATTCAATTGCCAGGTTGACTACTAAACACACTGATGTCTCTTTGAAAGTTCTAGCCAAAAGCAGAAGCAGTTCTGTAGAATCCACTTCTCTCTCAGAGGGTTTTGCATTTACTTCTTGTGTACTATTTTCACTAAGTTATTGCAAGCTGAGCAGAAGGTAAAGAGAGGACTGGAGCAGGGTTCATGGTGTGCTGGCTGCCTGGCTGTGTCTGCCTGTGCCCATATGCTGACCCCAAAACCAATGTCCTCCTCACCTTAGCATCAGAGCCCACAGACAGCCGTTATCACAGAAACCTAATTTACTGCAGTTTCATACCAGAATTTACCTGAACTAACCTCAGTTGTGCAATCTTATCTCATCTGTATACTTGTTTATATTAGTTGCCATTACTTTGTTATTTTGGTGTAGTTGTCATGGAAATCCAGTGAAGAAGGGGAAGGTACAGATTATTTACCCTTTCATATGAGAATACATTATATTTATATAACTTTTATGGCAACAAATGCCCATGGCAGATGAACTGCACTTCCTCAGCTATACCATTATGTGAACCCATACAGCTTTCTGCATGTAGACAAGGTCACAGTTCCTTAGGAGCCAGATTACATTTATTCTTACAAATTCCAAGCAGGGCTATAGGAATTACAGCCTTGATTTTTTTAGTAAAATTCCCACTTTTTGCCTACCTTTGCCCAGAGAGCTGAGGAGAATCCCAAAACAGGGCTGAGTGCCAGGATCACAAGTGTTAATTTCCAGCCTTTTGTAAAACCAACTATAAATCCAGTGAAAAAAGTAGCCACTGCCTGAAAGAACATTGCTATTTTTTCCCCTATTCCTTCATTAATCTTGGAGATGTCACTGAAAAAACAAATGATATTCAAACAAATAAGGAAGTGTGGACACCATATAAATGAATTCTCTGGATACAGCACACTCTGGCAGTATTTCAGTATTTCTTAATGTTTCTAACATCTTCAGTTCAACATAGTTCCAATTTTGCAGCCACAGAGAGCATGGAGCAGCATTCTCCCACATCTCTGTTTCTCAGGATCTACCTAAACGAGTCCAGGATCTATCTACAGGACAGTATGGCTTACAGAGGTGTTTCATAAGATAAAATAACATTGTTTGGAAGGAGATATTACAACTGATTTGCAATAGTTAAATACTCAGCAATTAACTGATATTTAATACTTACTCTACAATTCTTGTGTTCAGTTCGCACACATCATTTACATCAAACCATCCAATCTCCTGTCTCATTACAGCATGAAAAAATTCTTGTCTGATTCTTTTTATTTGCCTGCCAGCAGCTAGTGTCCAAAAAGAAACCTGAATGTAGGCAGCAAAAAGAACACCAGCTCCTATTCCAGAATAATAATAAGCATATCTGAAAGAAAACAAAAAGATTTACATCTGAATTAACTCTGCTTCAAACAGGGCTCCAAGAGATAGCTTATATATTTATGTGTGCATTCAAAAAAAAAAAAATGAAGACCATTACAAGTATCTGCCATTTTTCTTTCTTCAGCACAAGGAATATTTTTTAAGATCTTTCAAAATCAAATTTCAGCCTTTGTATTTTGCTACTTATCATACAAATTTCACAAACCAATACGAAGTTTTTAATTTAAAAATTAGTGGCTGGAAGTCCACGAAGACAGAGATTGTATAAAATAAGAAAATAAAGAATGTTTAAGTGATGTAAAACATAAACTGTTTGTGCAAGTAAAACAAAATAAGGCTCCATGCCTACCAAAAAAAAAAAAGATAAAAAAGAGGAAACAACTTCTATGCTTCTGTGTTAGAAACAACTGCCAAAGACATTCTAATCATTATTGCAATTAAACAAAATATATTTGAACTGAAAAATATTAGTGCATTAATGAGTGGCTTAAATATAAACGAGTGCTGAACATTGCTCTTAATTCTTGCTGCATAGTAGAGAAGCCACAAAAACCAGCAAACCTGGGAGAAAAAAGTTTGTTTGAGCATGTAATTAACGCCAAAACACAAGGAAATGGATTCTGGTTCAGAAACTCTATGATTTATGGTTATTTTATAATATCTTTGGTAAAAATTAATTGGAAAATAAAAATATATTATATTGTGAACTACTTATTCAAAGACAACTCAGAGAAAATTATGCCTTCAGTGTTGCCACCTTTTCTGCATGACAAATATGCACAATATTTATATTTAGATTCCAGTTCCAGAATGTAGTCATATAATTTTGGGATCAGCAGTTCCTAATTCTTATCCTGCATTCTGACATTTGTGCAGAGTAGCATTTGCCATCTGTCGTTCTAGACAAGGAGCAGGTTGCCATGGCTTATTTTTCAAAACAAACATTATTCCCTGAAGTTGAATAAAAAGACTAAGTTTCTTTTTCCTCCTTTATAAAGAAGCATGAATTAAGTTTAACAATATATATATATATTTTTAAGTAATATAAACAGTATTAAAAAGAAAAAAGAAAGGACAACTGAAGTGGAAACTAGAGAAAAACCTGAAAAGTACAAAGAATGAAAATAAAAAGAGATAAGGCAAAGGGGAAGAAAGAAAGCAATCCATCCAAGTGTAAGCCTCAGAGTTGCCCAGATGATGAAAGCACATACTCTGACAGCCTGACTTTGAAAATTAATGGTGCTTACTACCTTATAAGACTGTGAAAAATACTGTTAGATTAACATGAAATAACTTCACAAGAAGACAGTTTTATCAGATCACATATTGAATCTCAATCCCTACTTCAAATTTATCCACTCAAAAAATGTGAAGAATACACAATCATTGCAAGTGCTTGACCCAGTTTATATTTCTGAGTTATGAACTCTGCATATTTACTGGGAACTATATTAAAATATTTACTATATCTATTTCAAATTTATTCTCTCTGACCTTCGTTATTTATTCTTTTTCCTAATAGAAGGGTACAAAAGGATATTTGGTTACCCTTTCAAGAGGCACTCATTGTTTGACCTTAAGATGGACAGACCCATGTGCTTGTGGTGGCATAGATTAAATGGGAACTGAAAAATGGTAATTTAATGGAAATTCCATCATGCATGACTCCCTAACGATCTCATTTAGTTTTCATTTCTGGTAGAAAATCAAGGTACTTAAGAGATGTCTCCGAATTTCATGTCATTACAAAAACTGCCAATTCATTTATTATGTAATGCACAATATTTTGTATTCTTACAGTGCAGGAACATGGAGCCAAAAAATGACTTGCCTAAGTCATTGCCTTAACTTTTGATGATGAGGGGGGAAGAAAGGGAGCAGGTTCTTTGAGTTACAAGAAATTTGTTTTTCCTTTCTTTCATACAACTGGTTCTGAACTTCATTAGCTAATGATGTTATGTAAAAGCAGGATCTACAGTTTCCATGGATGAGGGACCTGTGAGCAGGAGTGCACACTGAGAGAAGTCATGAGAACTGGCATGGGAGAACAAGCAATCTCAACATTTGAAAAAGGAAGAATAAGCCTCTCTGTAATCTTAAAAGCTGTAGGTTTGCAGGAGCCATCTGGAACAGATTTGGATTAGCGAGAAACTGCAAGATCCTCCTGACTTGTGCAATGATGCTGGCCTAAAGACATAAAAAAAAATGAATTTCTTCAGTTGCACAAAGTATTTACAGTGAGATTAAGTAGTATAATCTTTAGAGGACAATTGCTCAAGATCTTCGGTACAAGGAAAGTTCAGCCACAAAGTGAATGAAAACTTTCCCATTACCTGGTCATCTCTTCTTCCAACTCTCCCAGAATAAGAGAAGAAAAAAATTCCATGGAAAAATTCACCAATGTGCTGTTCAATAAAGAAAAATTTGCTAAAGAAAAAATAGAGAAAAACTTGTTAGTTATTTTTATTGAAAGAGATAATAATTTCCTTCTCTGTAATCCTATCCACACAATGCTGAATGACGATTAAGAACTGCCAGCTGTCTAGTGCCTGAACACGATTAGGGGAGTTTAAGATATGCTCTACAGTACTAAGAGTTTTCTGAAGCCAGCAGTGAAAACGTTACCACAAATATAATCAGCAGTAAAAACACTAACTAAATTCAACTACTTTACAACCACTAACCACAGTGGAAACATCACCACCTAGGAATTTTTACCTGGATAAGTGATGTTTTCTGAAGCAATAAAAGAATCTGTCATGTCACCAAAGACAATCATCATAAGGGGCAGGCTTGCTCCATGGAGCACTGCCATGGTAGTGCCCAGCGCCATCAGGAGTTTATCCTGCCGGTCAGAGTATCGAAACTGAAAATGGAAATAAACTGTGCTGAAAACTTCTCTCATTACAACAAATGCATCTGAGTGACAACGCCGTGTTAACAACGCTCCAAGAATGTGTCAAAATAAATGAATACATTTTTAATATATAAAATAAGAAAATTATAGCATAAACCAGAAACTTAATAATGGTTTTAAGAACAAAATAATGGTTTTCATGAGAAATTGTTCCATTACAAAACAAATCTTTTTTCCTAAATCTATCTCAGGTTCTGCTAGATGCAGATTTGAGTTAAATCTGCATCAAACCCAAGTCTACCAACAGTTACATTTAACTGTTAAATCGAATTAACTTGTTAAATCTTATTGCAGTTATCATTGAGAGTGCAGCTAAAGTTGCCCAATCCTCTCCTTTCCGAGCTAATTCAGATAGCTCATGCACTTTTAATTCCCCAGAAAGGGGGGAATATTGTTCTAAGCAAAGCTATAATGTTAGAAATTGTTATGGTATGTAATGAAAACCTCTTCAAATGATTGTTAAGCCCCAGGACTTAATTTTGGAATTGTCACTGCTGGGGATTTTCTAGACTTGCCTGGACAAGGCCTGGAGCAGCCTGCTCTCACTGTGATGGTTAGCCTGGCTTGGGGAAGGGCACTGGGCCAGGCAATCTCCTGAGCACATAAAATGCAAAAATACTGTGGCCTGTATATAAACAAAGAGATCACAGAAATTAAAATAGTGTGCTTCTGAGTCATCTGCTTAAAAATGAATGCAATTATACTGTAAATTCTGCTGTGACTCTCCTGTTTCTTGCTGGATGTAATTTTGGATTTGAGTGAGGGAGTGGCTGAGATATGACTAGCAGTTAATTAATATAATAATGATAAATTAGAATCAATGGAGAAAGAGTGACTAGAACATTGAAGCTCAAATTTCCTTGTTTTTGAAAGCCTTTTAAAGGCATTCCATTGAGCAGCTATACCAGGTTCCTACAGAAGCACATCTAGTTTTGGAGACATTTTGTCTGGCACATGTTATGCTTACTCCTCATTTGGAGCTTTCATTTTCCTTCTCTCTGTGCTTCCAACCAATCATGTTTCAAGTATATGTTACAACCCCTCCCTGCCTATCTGCAAATACTGCTCTGTTGGGTCATCTGTTGGGTGCAGCTGTGATAGTAAAATTTTCCAACACTGAGAGGACCGGCATTGCTAAATACACAAATAGCATTTAACTTACCACTGTTAATGGACTGACCATATTCATTTTTTCAGGTTTCCTCTTGTCCTCACTGCTAAAAAATCATGATTGTATTTTAAGAAGGAGGAGCACTGCAAATATCAAAGCAAGCCTCATGCATTGTTACTACAACTACTGTCTCTCAGTTGTGTTCAGATGTAGGGAGGAGCTAGAGGAATATAAAATCAGGATTTTCAGTGTTCTTTTAGTGCGTGTCTCTGAACATTGTCAAGAACGTTCACAAGAAGCCTTCAGGTTTCATATCAGACTAACGCAGTGTCTATCTGGGTAGATATCCAATGGTTATGCCTCTGTGAGACTTCGGTTTAAAATCACCACTTAAAAAAAAATATATATTAAGAATGTCTGTAGCTAAATCTGCAGTAGGACTCTGATAATGTAGCAAAAGTTCCACTGCAGACTCTGCGAGTTCACTCCTATCTACAACACTCCTTTCCTGAAGAGGAGAATGGGAAGATCTCTGATTATTAAACGCTGCCATTTGAGTCTTTCTGGCCTAGGCTAAAGCCTAATGGTAGCTACTAGCCGTATTTTTAAGTAGCTTTTGAAAACAAACCTAACGTTACTCCTGATTGACAAAGGCCACTCATATGTAACTTATTACTTTGATTTCAGACTACAAGATTGCAGTATAACAGACTGGTCCCTCTCATCATAAGACTCAATGTACAGAATTGATCTTGGAAGAAACTGCTCTATTAAAATGAGCAGTGACTGCCAAGAGGGGAGAAGGAAACAAACTTGGAGAAGGTGGAGATGATGTCAGAGTGAATCCAATGCTTTGTAGTGATCAGATTACTTGTACTAGAAGAAACAACGAATAGATGGAATTTCAGAGAAATCACTGTGAGTTTGCAGGGTAGTATCCTGTCCTATCACAAGATACTCTGTGAGTTATTAATGTGTCTCACTGAGCTGCAAGGTCAATATAAACCAAAGAGTTAAAATTATGCAGAAATTTTACTTCCACTTGAAAAAGTTAAAGGCTATTTAAAGCACTAATCTTCTCCTAAGCCTATTAAAGGGAAAATTATGGGTCGATTGGCTTGTTTGTTTGCATTAATTTGTTTGTTTGTTGTTTGTTCTTACTTTTTTTTAATAGTAAGCCTATATTTACTGGATTGCCGTTATGGGTGGCATTGGTTTTAGATCAAAAGATGAAAATAATTAGTATTTACCTATATGTGGACAAAGCAAACTGCTCCACTCATAGTTGACACTTTTGAATTAAATTGTATACCTCAAACTAGGATATTCCCAACAACTGGAAGGCTCAGTAAAATGGGCAGTGTAATTGTCAGTAAAAAAAGGCATTTTGTTCAAATAGTAATGCTTAAGACTTTCATTAGATACTCTTAAAATACACTCTTAAAATTAATTTTGTGGTTGTATTTACCTGACATTTTTACAGAATTTGGTACAGTATAGCCAGCAGTGATAACAGTAAGCTTTATTCTGACATTGCAAAGAATGCAAGTTGATGATCACTAAAATGTCAGAATACTGTACTTCCATCCAACGGCAAATTCAGGACAATTCATTGAAGTTTTAAAACTCCTTAAGTTCAGTCTAAACTGAACTTAAATATCTCCCCTTCAGCAAAAGAAAAGAGGAAGATGAGCTTCAAAATGTGTCTTTGACTTAGAAACCATCAGAACAGAGTCATGAGAATGCTCTTATCTGAATAACCTAAGTTTCCCTTTCAAACAGTCCAGATACAACTAAGCTCATGCAGTTCATTTCAAAGATGTAGGTAAAATGTCACTCTTCCCCTATTTTGCAATGGGGATTCTCTTGACTTACAAAGTTCAATGTTCGATCAAATACTAATCAATTTCTACTGTAATGGGTGCAAGTTATTTTAAAGGACATGAAAAGGACAGTGCCAGTCAACAGTTTCATAAACTCTCATCAGTCCTAACTAGGAGGAGACACTTTTTCAAGTGACCACATTCAAAGACATGTTTCTGATGATTGGAAGTCCTACTCAAACCATCTTAAATCCTGTCCTATAAGCCATGTGGGAATTAAGTGATTTCTACTTCATATGATGGCAAACAGTAAATTACAATATCATGCAGTTCTTTAAATCATGGAATCCCTTTTCCACTATGACCCCTTTTTTGTTTCTTGAAAGGGATGAATAGGGTAGAGAGGAGAGCATGCAGGACATCTGACCTGATTTGGCCTTTGATTCTAGTAAAAAAAGTTACACTATTTTCAGAGAATTAGCTACTCTCACTTCAGTTTTCTCAGTATTTTTGGCTCAACTTTTTAGCAAAGCAGGGCAGATATGGCTGCCACTGCCTTTCTGTGAAAGAATGACTGTAGCAACCAACTTTTCAATAACCCCAACAGAAAATCATAGCATCAAGGTAAAAGCAAAGCTTCTACCAAAGCAAAGCATCTCAGACAGACTTCTCCTGACCTGGATGTGTCAACTGTATGTATCTGTTAACAATTCATCTATGTTTAGATATTGTGAGATATATTTACCTATATTTAGATATAGATATTTGTACACTTCTACATCTATACTTATCTGCACTCTCTAAAGAGAGTAATGGAAATCAAAGGTTTCTCCGAAGAAAGAAAACATTGATTATTTTTGTGTTCTTTAACAACAAAATTTAAGCCTATGCATTTAAAGGTAAAACATTAATAGAACATTTAAAAATCAATGACTGTACTTACCATTTGCCTTCAGATCCATAATTCTGATATGGTACAGAAATATTATCATCCCTTCCATTTACGTAATGTTTTATTTCTTCTTCAGAACCCATTTTAATCTGCACAAGAAACAAAGTACCTCAGGAAAAACTATCAGTAATATTTATTTAAGAGGATGTAAAGAAAACAAATTGAAAATGTTTGCCCTGATTTGCTGTTTGAAACTAGCCTGTCTTCAGATTTGAAGCAGGAACCCAATGGCATCCTCTGCATAATCCTTGGAAGTATCTCATTTCAAAGCACGTACATTTCTGCAAGTTAGCATAATAATACAAAAGAAACATTATAATGCATTTTAAAGTAGAATGAAATTTCACTGGAATTTTTTGCTCATTTTTTAAATATTCGGTATCCGACACTGATCATTTATCTCAAACAAAGTAAATGTACTGACTTACCAGGAGGGCAGATTTTAATGTTTTCACCTGTTCTGGAAGGTTATTCACCAGTCAGAAGGTCTAGCTTGGCTGGAACTGTGCAGGGAGGTTGGACTTTGTTCATTTTGTGTGAAACTAGTGAGTTTTGGGTGCTTGCAGGATAATGGGTGTGTGCCAGGATTTCCCCTGGAGCCAGTTAGGGTTGTGAGGGAGTATGTGCACTGAAATCCTCCCAAAGGAAGCCTCTGTGTTAATGTATTCTTCACTCCTTCTATGGTTAGTGAGCCAGGCTGGCTGTGGAGCAGCACCTAGGGCATGCCAGCACACTGGGCACTGAACCCCACCTTCTCTCCAAGGCTGAAGCCATCAAACCAATGTGGTGATTGAGAAGGGATAGAAAAGCTTAAAAAAGGCTCCTCCCTGCCTGTATAGCGTGTTGTCCTTTCCCACAGGCTCTAGCTTAGCTGAGGGGTTCAGCTGTGTCCTTCAGCACAGCTGTTGGAGCTGCCTGGAATTGGCTGGGTCTGGTATGGGGCCTCTCCTCACAGAGGCTGCCTCCACTTCCAGAACTGTGCTACGTAAACCCGCTACACCATGACTACCCATTCCTGTAGCTGTTTATTACTTGTATTGTTTTTTCTTCCACTGTGGAGCAGGGTTAACCTCCACAGTGTTACTCTCTGTGTTGCCATCTGGATATATCCCATCATGGGATATACACAGCTGCTGCCCCTCCCTCCAAGTCCCATCGCTATCCTGGCTCTCCAGGAGCACTCTCTTCATTACCCTTCTGCTTGAGAAACATGTGGTCCTTTCATGGCACCAACTCACTAGGAATGCAATTTCTGCATGGTTCTGGATTGTTCCTCCCTAAATTTTTTGAGAAATGGAAGGGAAAATACACTCCAAATAACAAATAAGTAAAACAAATAACAATAAAACAAAGCAACCAGTGGTTGGGACAAAGGGAAAAGGCAATAGAAGATGGACAGGTAAAGAAAAGGACTTCAAACCAGAAGACATTTGAAGGAATGAAGAGTAGCTTGGTGTCAGGCGAGGACTAGCTGTGAACAGCAAGTGGTAAGGGGAATTTAACACCAAGCCCTGCACACAGTGCAGTAACTTCTCAGGCATTATGAGAGAATTCTGCTTAAGATACTGTTACTGGCAGATCTGGTAGACCCTGCTGTAGCACTGATCTGAAACCCAGTATCTACATTAAAAGGTGGGGTAATTCATGTATGGAATCTCTTTTTTTCCTTTGATAGGAACCAACTTCACATATGGCACAAGGTTTCGGAGTGGAACTAATACACAGTACATGGAGATGACCAAAGAATGCACTCACAACCATATCACTGATTCAAACCAAACCGATTAAGTAGAAAATTGTAGATTAGTCTCTGCATTTTTGAGCATTTTTTGAGCAGCACAGATTTATTGCTTTGAACTGAAGCTGTTAGTCCTACCAAATGAAGAAAACTGAACAATCTTTGGGATGAATAAACACTATTATTTTATTACATATGAAATAATTATATATAATTATTATATATATAGTATATATATTAGAGCACAGTTAAGCAATATATTTGTATGCTATTTATTATATTGTTATCGCAAATGGAGTAATAATTAAAAGTGGATCAATTAACTTCATCTTAAATGAAGCACAAAGGTTAAACACAATCTGTTGATGCTACTTTGATCTGAGAGGTGAGGTGGTAAAGTATTTCTAACTCCTTTTGTTGTATTTAAGGTTAAGGATATTTTTTGGAAAAAAGCTGAGATAGTAATTTTCTAGCATTATTCTTGTAACTGTTTTCCTCTTGTGATGAATTGATTTGTTTTGATATCCTGGAAACTACCATAGGGAATGGATCTATTAATTGATTGGATGGTTCACTCTAACTTTTCCTGCAGTCGGAGAATGGCACAGGTTGGGAGGTTTTTTAATGCCACATGTAGTCTGGTTTTGAATACCTAAAGGGAGGGAGCACACCCTTTCTGAGAGATCTGTTCTAGTGCTGAACTGCCCTCACAATAAAGAAGTATTTTCTCATGTTAAAATGCCTGTAATGCTTATTATTTTGGAAGGGAAAAGTTATTCTTTAATGTAACTGTAGCATTTTATTAATAACCTATTTTATACATTTTTATAGCTGTTCTTTAAAGATAATAGGCTGTCTGAAATAGTTGTATGTTGGATGAGAGTATTGTTGAATATAAAGCTTTTTAAAGAAATAATTCAATCAGGAAAATGGTTCCTAAATTCTATATCTCAAATCACATTACTGGGGCTAAAAATACTGAAGAGGACAAGATTCACATTTTGTTTATTTGATACTTCTCAGTCAACTTTTGTAGTGGAGAAACTATGACAGAAGTAGGCTGAGGCATGATACTTGATGGTATTCATATGCTGTAAGTCAATTTATGAGCCTACTGTGTCATCACTTGAAGTGATGTAAGATATTGTGATTGTCATCACAATATCTTACAGGCCATTGTTACTCTTGCCTGACAGACTTGCCCGATATCATGAAGGAAATTAATGGCAAAATATTGATGGCTGCCCCAGCAGTACCCAACTGTGGATCAGCAGCATACATCTAACCATTTCACACACAAAAACATTTTAATCTCCTCTAAAAGCTAAGATAAACATCCTCTGTCATCACTGCTCCCCTTCAGTAGGAATGCTTAACATAGTACAAGCTTGGAAGAGCAGTTAATGTCTATAGTCTCAGTTTAACATTATCCCAGGTCTTATAAACTCCAACTTCAGTAATAAAACTTCCAGGACTGTAAATTGATAGAAAAGAGGAAAAAAGAGAGTGGGAATAGAATAGGGTGGGAATCCTGTCCATGACCAAGAGATCATAAGAATATTGCTCTTTAAGTTCAATACAAGCAATGTCTGCATAGAGTTGAACAAAACATGAAGAAAAGAAAATCTAAAAGATGCAGTTTAAAATAGTTGTGTCTGAGTAAATGAGGCCATCATGTGGCAGATGTAAGTACAGAATATATAAGACTATAAAAGCTACAGAGAGAAAAAAATAATTAATAGTTTCGATGACAGTTGGGAAAACACCTTCCTTCATGAACACAAAGGAATGACATAGGGAACAACAAATACAAAACAAATGCTGTAAAAGATGTCATATATGTACAATCAAAGGTCAGAAAAAGATCATATTGGAGAAAGTCAAGAGAAAAAATCATGTTGTTTTTGACCAAACTAGCCACTAGCAGTAAATAGAGAGCAGAGAAAGCTGACCTGTTAGTCTTCTTACACCTCTCAGTTCTACCTTGAGTTGATTTTTTAAATATTTGCTGTTAACAAAACTGACTTAATTATGGGCATTTGAAAAGTAGGAGAGAACAAGAGGAAACTGTCAGACAGATCTCTATTACTTCTCCCTCAGCATTGCTTCATTTTATTGTCTTATATATTCTGTACTTAGTTTTCTTTTTTTTGTAGATTACACATTAATCTTGTTATTCAGTTGTCCTGTTTTCATTAGTAATTTGTCTGAGAACCAATTCAGTCACATGGAAATAAAACTTCCCTACTGTTTGAGGTGAACTTAAGAACCATGAACTTAAAACAACTCTTTGCTGTATTCAAAGCTTTGTTAACATAATGGTCTCCATTATTAAGCAAATGAATGATGATATAATTTCTACCTATGAACACTTGAAGTGAAACTATGAAGAAACAGATTATATGCACCTTGTATATGGACAGAGAGCCTTTGCTTTTAAGTTACCTAAAATATCGATTACCTTAAATATTTGGGCATTTTAAAGCCCACACATTTTCTAGTATTTTTGTAGGAAAAGTCTCTATCTTTGGAGAATACTAAGCTACAGTCAAGGTTAACAGATTTTTTTTTTTTTATGAAACATGATGTGGTCCAGGACATAAGAAGCCTGTTTTAATGCCCTAGTCATTCAACATATGACTCATTTTCTCTCAGCTATGGCATTTGACAATGTAGGTAGTCATGGTAATCAACCTCATGAAGAGAAGAGATTTTAGTTTATTGCTAATCTGACTTGCTAGTGACAGTGAGTCTAAATGGAATGAGCTGAGCTTCATTGATCAGACCTTTGTTAAACATGCAGAAAGGATGCTTGCTTAGAGAAATAAGCTCAGGCATAAGCATTTACTTTTAGTTGTTTGCATTCCTGTCCCAGCAGCAGTATTAGAGTACTACCTGCTTAACTAACAGTGTCCAGCTCACAGATGGAATGAAACAGAAATAGGAATGAGCATGCAAAGACAAAAGGAAGTATACTCACTCTACAATATGGGGACTTATAGACAGTTGTACTTGTGTGATCTTTTTCTTACTGTTCTCTGCTGTTGATATCTCTACAGTCCATGCAATTCACTGCAAATTATTTGAAGTGGATGCTCATTCTGTTTCTCATTTTCTGATTTTGGTTTGCTGCATTAGAGTAACTACAATAAAGGAAACCATCCTGCATTAGAAATATCTAATGAATGAGGAATTAAATAATTCTAGACTATGTATCCAGAAAAAAAAAAAAAAAAAAACCTGGCCACTTGCCAATAGCAGTTATTTAGACTCTCTTTTTGTACATTTTTAATGTGGATTTTTCTGTACAAGAACTGCTAGAGTCGGCAGTATTCATGGGCAGTGTGGCATGTTTTTCCCCTCCTGAAAGTTGTCTTCCTTTCAGTGACAAAATCTGCACATTAGATTGCATTTTCAGGGTGAGGAATAGGAGGATGTTTTATAAATGTAGACTACAGATCTTGAGGAAAAGATTGGCTATATGTCTATTTGTACTTTGAATAATCACAAGAAATACTCATTAACAAATCTTTCAAGATCTATGGAATTTTGCAGATATAAATGTTCTGTTAGACAAGTATAGTAGCAAGAAACAGATGAGAATGTTAAAAGGATTTGCTTATAAGGTAAGGGAATGGTTTCCATTAAAGCTAGATTGTCTGAGAGTCAACATCAGGATCATTGATCCCAACATGAGATATCTAGGGAAGGAATATCTGATGAAGAGATGGTGGAGATCCATAACTGTTTTACAGTCATTGTTTGAAATTGAGACAGTCCATGATCTTTGGAACTGGTGAATAATGCTTCTTCAGAGTTCTGTGAGGAAAGAACACTGGATATTGTTGGTGTTCTTTCTATTATCTCAGAAATGAGAGAAGGGTTTGTTAGTAAGGTACTTACTGCATGAAGAACAGCGAATTGCCATTGTAGGGGCAAGTATGCTGGTCAGTGTTGGGCAATAGGATGTTAGTATTCAACATACTGACAAGAATTTGCAGTTGGAAAAAGCTTGTGTACCTAAGACACCTTTTTCTTTTGAGAGCCTCTTTGGAGGATTAACAGGAGGCCCATCATCAGGCGACCCATCAAACTGGTCAACTTAAATGCTTCTTTTCTTGTTTTTCCCACAGTCAGTCACATATGCTTTGAAAGTCATTAGGATTGCTGAGGAGATGTCAATGCTTAAAACCCTCTGAGAGCTTGTTCCAAAGCTAATGGAGTAAGAGGCAGAAATCTGACATAAGAAATGTGTATAAGAAGAATTCCAGAATATCTTCTTCCAGAAGGGTAATTTGTCTAGGTGTGTAAGTACTCAGCACAAGACAGGGAAGAAGGGCATCTTACTCCATAATAAGAAGATGTATGTATATCAAGTGTCTTTGATTATTTCAGTGGGTATCGTACCAATGTGTATGAATATCTGAAGAGAAGGTGCAAAGAAGATGGGGCCAGGCTCTTTTCAGTAGTTCCCAGTGCCAGGAAAAGAGACAGTGGGCAAAACTGGAACACAGGAGGTTCCCCCCAAGCCCCAGACAGTACTTCTGTGCCATGCAGGTTCTGAAGCACTGGCACAGACTGCCAAAAAAAGCTGTGGAGTTTCCTCCTTGGAGGTCTTCAAAAACCATTGGACATGGTGCTGAGCAAACTGTTCAGGGTGACCCTGCTTGAGCAAGGGGAGATTAGGCAAAGTAACATTCAGAGGTGCCTGCCTCTGCACTCTGATTCTGTAAACACTAATCCAAACATCAGAAGTCCTATCATTATAAAAATAAAAAGCCTACTTTTAAAAATAAAATATTGAAATTAAAAATTTATTCTAAAAAACAGCAATCTAAGTATGTTACCACTTGAATCCTCAAAGAGTAATGTTAAGAAATATCAGTACCCTTCTTTGCAGATTTATGATGTGCTTATATTACAATGCAGACTAATAGCCTTTCTCATGGACAAGGAGTTATTTTTTCAGGTTGCAGGAAACAAACAAGTTTGGTACTCAAACTGGTGTCCAGTCAAACAGGCACAGAAGAAAAGAGATTAGGGATTGAAGAATGATCACATTAATCAGTATTCTGGAGAGCATTATTAATACAACGACCAACTTATCCACCAGCACATTCATTATGTGTGTGTAAGAGTAACTATCTACGTGTAGATAGGCAGGTTATACATGTAAATCTTAGGGAATTAGAAACTGCTGACAGAAATATAGAAGACTGATTAAACAGGCCAGTTTTAAACTTTAAAATAGAACTTTACTTCAGAGATATTCATTAACAATACACGTTGCTAATGGTAAAAATCTTAATTGCTATTATAACATATTCAAAGCAGTTAACTCTTAAAATTCATATAATAAATTAGCAATTGATATACAAAACCACAGAGCTGATGCTGTGTAATTATAATTTCTTTTCTGCTGCTTCTTTTCTGTAATATATTTAAAGCAGTTTTTCCCAGCATTTACAGTCACATTTCTTCCACATTGAGTAAGTGACCATGAGTGAGATACTTCTTAATAGTTCTGGGGCCTTGGTTTTCAACCTGTACCCATGTTTCCAAGACCATATTTGCAGTAATCCCAAGATAAAGCTCCACAAGAGATATCTGGCATCAAGGTCCAGTTGGCCTGCAAGTTCTCATAAGTTGATAACAAGCCTAATAGGTCATAATTGGGTTCCTACACAGTCAGCATAAGGCACTGTTAAGATAAGGCTTAAGGCCTGTTCCTAGCAATAGCAACAGTGGTTTTAATGTGTACAGTCATGTTTACATACTGTTTACCAGATGTGCCTGGATAGCATGATTTTGCTAGAATTCAAAGCCAGCTAACATGAATTAAATTTGGCTTAGCAAGTTTCTACTTTTATGGGTGTAATAAGCTTCTACTTTGGGTACGCAGTAAAGTAGTTTGAATAATGAAAACTAGTAGTGAGAAACTGGTAGATTGTTATTTCTTGTTTTCATAGCATTTATAAAAAGTCTTTAGTTTTGGAGAAAAAAAAAAATATCAAGACTGACCAGTAATATTATGTAGTATTGAAATAATTAGAGTGACACTTTGGAGAGAAGTACTGCCTTTAATTTACATGTTGCAAGACCCACTTTGAACATTGACCAGTGAATAGTAGAAGCCTTTTTCAGCCAGGAGCTGCTGATGAGTCCCTTGCTCTATGACCTTGCCGTTCTGGATCACAGCAATCTTGTCAGCATTCTGGATGGTGGACAGGCGGTGAGCTATCACGATGCAGGTGCGGCCTTCTCTGGCTTTATCCAGTGCTTCCTGCACAATCTGTGCAATGAACAAACCAAAAGGCAAATTAGAATCAGCTACTCTTTTCTCCTGTGGTGCAGTCTGGGGACACCTGTTGAGCTATGTGTAGTGCAGCAAAGGGTAAGGTGACAATTCTATGGCCTAGGAGGCAGTGATGGGACAACTATTCAGGAAGTTGTATTACTTCAATTGCTGTCTGGAATAAACTATATTATAGTAGTGAGAGAAAGGGAATAGCTATTACTTTAGATTCTTGATTTAAATTTAGCCTGTGTTGGCAAGGAGTGAAAACTGTTGTAATGGATGATTTCTTCAAACAGTTCAATTTCTGAAGTTTGTTCCTCCTAATTCAATTTTGGCAAACAGTTTCCAATTGAAACCCGAAAAATTCCAGGCAGAGAAAAGCCTTCTTCGCTGCTGCTTCAATCTGCCTACTGCCATATGGATACAAAGAGAATGGTGTTTTGGGGGCAAAGGAGGACCTTAATATTTGTCTTTGACTAGTACAAATACATAATTTGCACAAAACACCACATTTCCAGCTTTAGGCTTTAATCTGTGGGGACAAAATTAATAATATGAATGCAAACAAATGTGTTTAGATTCCACTGCAGGCTCACAACCAAGTTACCTTTTCGCTTTCTGTGTCTAAGGCAGATGTAGCTTCATCCAGCAGCAGAATCTGGGGCTTACGTACAAGAGCTCGAGCAATAGCAATACGTTGTTTCTGACCACCAGAAAGCTGTGTTCCCTTGTCTCCTACACGAGTATTGTATTTCTGAAAAATACATTAATTTCAGTATATGAATGCAAATCCATCCTGAATTTAAGGTTATTGGCCCTGGCACCAGTGATCTATAAGCTGTTTATGCCAATATATTTCTTAAAAAAGATGACCAGAAGTCCTATTCACCACAGATCTGTAGATCTTTCAATCCAAGACTTCTTAAAGCAACAGCCCTTTATTGTTGAAAAGAAACAGTGTTCTTAATCCAGAGATTGAGAGCTATTGTAAGTCAGTGAAAGTCTATGACTGGGGATAAATCCCTGACCTTAAACACCAAGCAATCCTCCTAACCAATGCAGTTAATCTAACCAACATTTATTCATCCTAAAGAAAAAACCAGCAATGCCTAATATGTTTCAGGCCAAATTATATGCTGTTAATACACATAGATATTTATATGCTGTCTCTCCATATGTATACTATGGATTTGGGCAGTTCTGTTGTTAATTTAGGTATCTCAGTTAGGCAATATCAATCAGGCCTCTGGACAAATTAATGTGTTGATCACAGTAGCCTGCAATGTAATATATATTTTGTTGCAAAAAGCATTAAAGTTTATGAGACATCAGTATATACTGCGACATTTCTTTACACAGGTTAGGAAACAGCATATTTTGATAAGAGTCATTAGAAACCAAAAGTGATCTGTACAAAATTGACACTCTACACAGTTGTATTTTTTCTGTCAACGCAAAAAGCAGCTAGATGACGTGAAGTCAACTTCCAACAGCACTGTAGGTTTCATGCAGCTCTGAACAGGAGAGAAAAAAATATAACTTACTTCTGGCAGAGAGTCAATGAAGGAATGAATATTGGCTGCTTTTGCTGCACTAACGATTTCCTCATGAGACACCTCCCGAGTGTTGTCCCCGTATGCGATGTTTTCAGCGATGGTGAAGTCAAACAGGATTGGCTCTTGTGAGACGATACCAATGTGAGATCTCAGCCACTGGATATTTAGTGTTTTGGCATCTTTGTCATCAAACTCCTGGAAGTTAAACATTTTAAATTTAAAAAACATGAATATATGTGTATTTGAGACTCACTGCAAATTTACAAAAATGATACAGTTGGAGCTTTCCCTAGAGATACCAGACTGAAAACTCACACAATCCCTTCCCCTTCTCTCTTCTCTCCCAGGTTTCAAAATTTCTAATGACTATTATATACAAGTGAGGTGACTAGCCCCTTCTGTTTTCTCCATTCTTTTCTTTGCTTCCATCAACATTTTGAAGACTGCAGAAGATACTGGAGCTACTTCAAAGAACTTCAAGTTAAATTCTTTCATTTTTTTCTTCTATTTTGCATATATATTCCCACTGAAGGGACAGATGGACAGTAATATTCCATTACAAATAAAAAGGGGATTTGGATTCATTCCTTCATACATTTTTGAACTGTGGAAGCAATAATAAATTTAATGGTAATATAATGCCTGACAATGGATAAATTTATTACTGGATTCCTGAAGATGTCATTTGTTGACAGTTGAGAACTGGCAACCTTGGCACTTCTGCTAAATTTTGCTATGGGTTGATATCATTTTCTGTTAGATGAATGACAACAGATTTTTTCTACTGAGTAGATGAATTCCAAAGCTATATCATTCTTTTCAATCTGAATAAAAATATACCAGGAAGTCTGGTATCTCTGAGCACATAAACATCAAAGAGAAAATGGCAATAAATGATACTGTTAAATGAAAAAAAGAATAATTAAAATTTGCTGAATAAGAAGTGTCATAAATTCTAGACAAATTTTAAATCCAAATTATTGAAAGCATTGCTACATCATACAGTAGCATATACAGTTACTAAACAACCCCTATTAAGCAATCTTTTAAGTGTTTTTTATCATAATGTTTTAAAACATTACATAATTTCCTCTGAATTGAAAGCGGTCTTCCCACTGCCATCATTAGGCTGTGGATCAAGCATACTTTTAACATACAGATTTTGTTGCATTAATTCAATATAGAGTGAGTAATCAGGACTTTTCTTATAACACTTCACTGCATTTATGCATCGAACTCAGAAAATCCACTTCTTGTCCATAATAAAATGCTTTCAAAAGTTTTTAATCATCTGTTATGCTTTATCACACATCACATGAAATAAAATGAACATATCTTCACTTAAAATATTGGTATAATCTCACAAAAATACTTACAATTTCTCCACTGAGCGGATCATAAAATCTCTCAAGTAGCTGAACAACAGTGCTCTTTCCACATCCACTGCTACCAACAAGGGCCAATGTTTGTCCTTTTTCTACTTTTAGATTCAAGCCTTGGAGGATTTTGACCTCCGGTCGGTTTGGATAGTTAAATTTCACATCTTTGATCCTTGTGTTTCCCCCAAATGTTACCTGTAATTGAAATCATATCACTGTTACTTTTTTAAGACAGTTTTACAGATGACAAATATTTCAAATAGAATTTTTTGTCCACTGAAATTAGTAGTTTTACACTTTCTGCAATGCTGGCTTCAGCTCTGTGGTCTGAATCTTTGTGAAGATATAAAACCAAAGTGAAGCACTGAAATAATTTGAATATGCTTGTAATTTTGACAGTTGAATTCCACACAAATTCTAGTGTAAGACCAGATTTTCAAAACAAATAACCTCTAACAGTGTGGGCAATAACTGGGCTCAAAATAAAAAGCTTACTCCATGTTGTGTTTGGATAAAGTATCAAGAATATATCAAGACAGGGAGGTAATCAGAAGGAGAGGAGAAATCAGCTTGGAGTAAGAAGAGTACTGCTCATATTGCCAAGAAATAATATTGACTTTTATACATTGCTTACTTACAGGTTTCTCTCCATCCTCACAGTAACTGTCTATTGAAGGTACTCTATCAAACAGCACAAACAAGTGGGCTGCTGATATCTTGGCTTTGGCATAGTCTGGTGCAAAAGAGCTGGTTTGTCCTAATGCCATAGCACCAAATACAACAGCTGAAAACACTCTATAAAAGAAATTAGAAACAAAAATCAACAGAGAATTGAGAAAGGAAATGGGGCTGCGTCAACTTTTACTTAAAGAAAAAAGGAAACTACAATTAAAAAAGAATAAAGCAGTAACCACATATTTTTGCTTTAATTACTCATTTAGTTCCTGAAATTTGTTTTTGTTCTCTTCTAATGAAATGAGAGAAGCGGACCTTGATTCAAAATTCGATGTTTTCATTACTTATTAACATAAATTTATTTAATTATTAATACTGGTTAGTTATTAAATTTCAAATGAGGCAAGGAGAAAAGTGGTCAATGAACAGCAAAAGTGATACAATTCTACTATTTCTGTGATTTCCCCTCTATAGTTCAGTGACTCCTCGTAGTTAGTGATTTATTTTTAAACTATTAAAGAAAAGAAGTAAGCAAGCCTGTAACAAGGTGGCAATATCCTCTGTAGTATGTTTTCATTATCTTTAAGTAAAGAATAAATAAAATCTGCATATATTCTCATAGCATGGATTCACAATATCTCTGTGCATTAAACAAAGGTCTTGAAAAATGATTGCAAGAAAATACTTACAAGAACACACTTTTGTACTCCATGTGTCCGTTAACCACAAGATAGGCTCCAAAGCGGAAACAGCCAGCATAGGTAAAAAACATCATTGCTTGTGAAAGGGAAAAACAAAACCCAAATATATGTGCCTTCTTCACAGAATTTCTGTAAGAAAGAATGCATGTTTTCATAAAAGTGTGCTATCATACTAAAGAATGCAAAAAAACCGCCAGCAATTAATTGACTTCAGATGCTGCTGCTAGGAATGCAAGTGTACTCATGCTTAAGCAGTGTAAACCTTTATCTCCTATTAGACTGTGTCCAAGATTGTTTTGTTTCTGTAATTTTATTTCCAAGTATGGCTGGGAATACGGGTGCAGAAAAAGGTGACATTTTAGCTACTATGTCTATTTATTGTCTTACGATCTCATAGTTTGAGTTTTAAAACACTTTACAGTTTAGTCCATGTACCACTGCATCACATAAGAAGGAAAAAAAGAGCAGAATTTTTAGCTTGTGGTCTCTAAATTTCAATTAACCAAATAACAGATTTTACATTATTACACACTTGGGAATTTGCTTCTTTTCAATGTAAGCAGTCAAAATTCTTCTCTCAAATAAGATTAAGCCTGCACTTCTGATGCAGAAATTTGATGTTGGATAATAAAACCATAGGTATAACTAAAAGTAAGGCAGAGAGAAAAATTCTGGTTAGTATTTTATCAGGAAATAGAATTTATAAAAAGAAATAAAAATATTTTAATTATATTGACACCATCCATGAGTCATAACTGTATGTTTCCTTTTGACACAAAGAACAGGAGCCAAACTCACAAGTGTGCTCTTTCGATCTTTTCATTAATTTCATTAATTAAACAGAACATGCTAACAAAAAGTTGCTAGCACAAGTAAAAACGCGTATTTTATTCTGTACTTAAACTACCGATTTTACTTTTAGTTCTTCAGTTACTTTTAACATACCTGTATGGTACATGCAAATGCTCTCCATACATGAGCTCAAACCTTTTTTCCCGTGTCAAACTAGCAACAGTTCGAATATTTTCTATAGCTTCTGTTGCAATCTGCAACAAAAACAAAATGTTTCAGTTGGAAGTTAAGTTCATGTTGCATTTCCTTACCATATCTTCACAAGTATCTACTGGAATATAGTTCTATTTTTTTTATAATTGTTTTTAAAATTTTGGACCTTTGATATGAAAGAAAGACTTCTAAGTTTTTTCTTTTTAGTTGATGAGATTTTCAGATGATGCTCAGAATTTTCTGATGTGACTTCTCTAGTATCTTCCAAACAGAATGGGAAAAACTTCTGGACAGTGACAATTAAGGCAAAGATATTGGATTAAAAAAAATGGTGATGTAGCATTCAACTTCCAATCTACTCAATTTGGGCTATATTTGGACTGTCTCATTTATACATCGAAGGCCTAACTCAGATCACAGCAGTAAATGTTTGATCTGATCTGACCTTCTTTAAGCTTGCAGGTTCCTCACACTTGGGTCATTTGTGCACACAAAGGTATCTAGGATCGCTTCAAGTCAATAGATACAAGGCTTTCATATAATCTATTACATCTTTGTTAGTGCCCATGAAGTCTTCTTCAAAGAACACACAGTGAGGCTATGAGTCTGCATGCATAAGAGGACAAAGGAACAACAGAAAACACCTGAAATAACATTTCCTTCAACACTGTAGCCAGTGTTATATCTCTGTTTACCCCTGCTTGAATCACTGAACTTGAATCCACGACCCACACATTGCATCCAGTACAGCACATGGTGTGCTGGGCATTCCAGTTTGGCCTCAGCTGCTGTTGCTGGGAGAGCAGTAATTCCTCACTATTTTTATCTAGCTTTTCAAAAACACAGATCTGAAAGCATTTTTTTTTTTTTCCGTAAACTACTATCAAAGATTTTTAAATTGTGGTCTTCTTATCTTTGTCCCTTCTGAAATGGCAGCAGAAGGCTTCAAATACCATGACATCTCCTACAGGGGAACTTTAAACTGCCAACACATCTGCAGACACACAGATTTAAATACCAAATCTGAAGACTCTTACGTGCACATCTGTACATAAAAAACTCTGCTCAACAGCTTTTGAAAACAGTAAGATACAGAAAGGAGTTTTGCTTTGAAGAAAGTAAAATCTGGGAAGTGACAAAATAGTTGTTCTGTCTCAAAAGTATTTTTGGAATGAAGTAACATTAAATACCTTCCTTTAATTTCCTTAACAAGAGTCTAGCCTTCAACTGTCATCCTTCTCGTCCATTCAAGAAATAAATGAATGGCTGACAGACCCAGGAACTGGTGGATATACATGTATTATCCCTAGCATCATTAAGATGAAAAGGAACAAAGAAAAAAAAGCAGTAAGACAGATGGCATGACAAAGAATACCAGAAAAGAAAAAATATCAAAATGAAGAGGGTTGCAAAATAAGGAAAATAGAAATTATTAGAATAGACAGGAAAAAGAATGTGCCCGAGCAACGCTTAAGCATATTCTGCTGTTCATCAGTTATGAAAATAGGTACTGGTTGATAACTTTTACTGAAGAGCTGTTGTGTCCTATAGGCCTACTAGTGTAATTACAGTCTGGCTATCTCTTGAAGTTATATATCTGGTTATTATCTCTATTTATAAGTAATATGTCCATTATCAATGGGTTTAGAAACATGACTTGTATTACATAGAAATAGATGAAATTCACTGGACCCACCTTTCCTGCAGCTTCCAGCTCTATTTTATCTTTTTTTGCATGCCCAGCCAACATCTTCATTTCAATCATTCCTGCAACTGCGATGATTGGTACAACAGCTAAAAGTAACAGGGTCAGCTGCCAGCCATAAACTAAAGATATAATAATACCAGTTCCCAGGTTAGCTATGTTTTGGGCAATTAATGCCAATCTGACGCCAGTTGCCTGGGGATAGAAAAAAGACTTTTTTTTTTTTTTGCCAAAAGAACAGCATTTTAGATCAGAAAAGCATTTTTACCTATTTTCTGACTCTCCAAAGATATTTAGAACCTCCAACTGCAGGTTTACAACAAAATGGGAGATTCTTAAATTATTTTGTAACAAATTATCTGGTTCACAATTCTTCTCTTCCCATATTCTGAGCACTTAAATTTGCACTGTAAGTTTTGTTTTGGCTTATGAAGCTAAACACACATTAAGCATTTCAAGTATTTACATTTACAACTAAACATTAAAATCTGTCACACTTTTTAGATCATGCATATTTATATATATATATATATGTATGTGCATATCTATCTATATATACAGCTTATATATCATCACACAGAGCCCAGTGAAGTAGGAAATTTAATGTTGGGAAGCACAATAGTAAACCTAAAAGGTTTGCTCAAATTTGTAAGCATATATTACCATTACTGTTGGGAAATGCATCAGTGCACTCTATCATAGAATCAGAGAATCATAGAATGGCCTGGGTTGAAAATGACCACAGTGATCATCTAGTTTCAACCCCCCTGCCATGGACAGGGTTGCCAATCAGTAGACCAGGCTGCCCAGAGACACATCCAGCCTATACAAAATGTCATTTTACCACTATGAAAATATTTGATGCTGTCAAAGTGCAGACTGTTAATCGACCAGTCAAATTCCTGCTGTGACTTTACTATGCATTAAATCAAGTATGAAAAATTCCCAAACCAAATTTTACTTACTCCTTTCACTTGTGAGGCATCATTAGCAAGTCTTGTTGTCAGTGCTCCAGTGCTGTTTTTAGGATCATCAAACCAGGCCATGTCCTATGATAAACATTTTTCTTAGGACCAGTTTTTGTGTGTTTAATATAAACATGAAAGTAAAAGTGAAATCTTTGTAATACAACTGAACACAGTGTTAGAAGAGTTTGCATCTGGCATTATGTAATTTCTGTATAATTAAGTCTAATTCCTTCATTGGACAATGGATATCTTAGGAAGAAGTGCGTGTGGATGTGCTGTGGATGACCTGATGTGTATGCTGCCACTAGGGAGGAGGATGGAAAGCAACCTGTGGGATTCTCAAAACTAAAATATACTCTCCCCCACAGCTGTTGAAACTGCATCTTCTTGAGTCATATGACTCTTCAGTCACATTCCTTCCAAATTGCAAAGCTGTTTGGGGATGGATTAAATGTTAAGCATTTTAAAGGTAAAAACTTCTGATTCATTGCTTTGTTTCCCTCAGATTGGAAAGGCTTATTTGGAAGCCATGAAACAAAACAAATAAAAACAAAACAAAGAAACGAAACACTACAACCAACCCTGGTCTATCTGATCAAAGTCATTTGTTACATGGTTTATAACTTTTTCACCATGAGATCAAATATCTAATTTCAACATCAATGTGTAATACTTATCATATGAAGACCTGGTGATGCAGCACATGCCTCTGTAAACAGCAAGACCCAATTGTAATATTGCATTTTCTTTAGATTTTCAGTGAAGCTGACCAAAAATTCATAGTTATTCAAATACAACAGCTTTCTGTCCACACTGCAAATAGTGACATTTCACATGAATGAAGTTCTGTCTGCATGTAGCTTTTTGTGCCAGACATGAAAATCAGACAGATATTCTATATTTTAAAATCTAAAATAGTGATCCTGACATCATGCAAAATAAAGGCCAGTTTGGTTAACCTCGGGAATTACTTAAAATCATTAAGGAAATATATATTCCTTAGTGCTCTGAAAGTGGCTTTCGATTTCATTGTTATTGTATTAATAAACAATAAATATACATTTAAAACTCTTTGAAACAGACCTTCAAAACATAAATAAAAAGATATCTGTATGTATCACAATTTAAATTAGACATTTGAAGGAACAATTTCATAGTAAGATGCACAGGGGACAAAGAGCACCAAGAAAGCAAAGCACGCATGTGAAAATATAATAGGATTTGGCTGGTGGTAACATTAAGCAATAGTAACTTGACTGTGAGTCTAAGGCTTTGCATGGAGTACACAGAAAGTTCTTACATTGACTTAAAGCATTTTCTCTGCAGATAATTTACTTAATCTCATATAACTAAACACATTGTGTTTCTAAACTAGTTGAAAGAATTTACTCTGTAGATAAGTCATAATATGGTAGAGTAAAACAGAATATGGGTAGGCTACAGTACTAACACAATCAACTATCTTTAAAAAAAAAGGCAATTAAAATATTTGTTTTCTTTACCTGTCTTAGCATTGCTTTAAATGCCATGAATCGAAGCCTCATTGTAAGAATTTCTCCAGCTTTGCCAAACGCAAAACCCTATTTGAGAAGAATTACAGTGCTTAATGTACATCAGATTGTTTACTCAGTAAATGTTTTAGGTATATTATCTCTACAATATCAAAATACAAAATATTGCTGTTGTGGTCTCACAAAATATGTAAAAGTACATTTCATATTCATAAATTCTAGTAGGTTCACAGAATAAACATTCCATTCCATTCCATTCCATTCCATTCCAGCATCCTCTGAACACTTTTAAGTTGAGCAACTTGTCATATCTATCTACAATTCAGTCCTCTACTCTCAAGGTGTTTTTGCATGCATGTACGGCAAGATGATTCCATAAACAAAATGAAGTTTTTACAAAAAAAATGTTTGTGCTGCTCTTCTAAGTACACTTCGCCATTTAACTGTGTAGGCTCATTTAATGGATAAAACTATACAAATATATTCAGAAATCAACACAACATATTATGATAAATCTAAAAATTATATCAATTTTTATGATAACTATAATGAGGTCAGAAAAATTATAATGAATCTATAATAATAATACATACCTGAACAAAGAAAGTAAAAAAGGAAATGATCCCAAGTGCTAAAAACAGCAGTGAATATAAGTTGCTCTTTTCTCTCAAAACTTTTTCGTCTTTTTCTGAAAAAATCTATAAAATAATATAAAGTAATATTTGAAACACCAACTGTTTGAACAAGAAATAATCTAAAATACTCCCATGCTTCTAAATAACTATTTTTGACAGTCATTTACATTAACAGAAAACTTGAGTAAATGCTACATTTGCTTGCGGATAGAAGAAGAAAATTTCAGATTATAACAAGATTTTTAGTATTTCGTAAATTTCATGGAGTTGTTAAGTTTTCTGCAACAGTGCTTCATCCCTCCTCAGTTTCATAATCCAGTGATTAAGACCTTATTGAAGATAAATTTTATGAGCTGTATAGGTTTTTGCATATTTTATTTGAACTTACCCCTATAATTTCTGAAAATATGACTGAAAATGCAGGTTGTAAAGCTCCATTGATAACTGCACAGAGAGTTCCAGCTACAAAGTACGGCCATTCCTTTTTGTTCAACTTCATCACTTTCAGAAATGAAACTGGAGGTAATTCTTCAGCCTTAAAGAATGAGAAATTTGGTAGGAAATACATATATTCATTTGGGGAAATATGGAGAAAAAAGTAGGAATTAGCATTCAAATTCCTACTCCCATGGTCAATTAAGGGGAATTGTATACTTTTTAATAGCATAAATAATTAAATATTTTTATTTTTATGATGTTAGTACAAGAAAGAAAGAGCTGTTAGAATATATCTGTGATTTTTTTATAATATTTTAGGTTAATTATTTCATGTTCATTGATCAGTTGGTATCGTTAAGTGGAGGCTGAATGCACTGCTCACAGTGTATACTCTATAAATACATTAATTAAATATGTATAATATAAACACAGTGTATAATATAAATACATTAATCTGGTGACGAGTGGCGTCCCCCAGGGGTCTGTCTTGGGACCGGTGCTCTTTAACATCTTTATCAATGACATCGAT